TGATACACTTTGCTACACAGTTATGGACCTTCCCCTCCGACAAAATGCAGTATCTCAGGGCCAACATTATGCATATCATCATCGGAAATGGACCTGAGGGCCCAGTCTCGGAACAATATGACTACCAATACAAGAACCAAATCCTTTTCGACAAACCAGGCCCCGACATGTTCGAAATATTCCCGCGTGTCGTCACAATTGATGCTGCTTTGCGAATCAACGATAATTGCTTTTGGCTTTGCTTGATCGCGCTTGGATTTCTCCTAGTCGAGCCAAGGAAGAACTGGACAGAGCAACAGCTCAAAGGCTCCAACCGCGTTGGAAAATGCCTCGTTGCTGGGGTTTTAATACCGATACTCAACGGAATATTTCTACTTGTCCTATTTCATGACTCTCGAACCTTCTGGATCTTTTTAGAGTCTACAATGTTCAGGTGCATGGCGGTAACTATGGGTATGTGCCCAGTTGTGGTGGCATTCTTCATATATCTACCACTATCAACCGAGTGGAGTTCAATCTCTGGAATACTGCCCGAAACAAGATCCACAAAACGGTTTCTTTTAGAGCTCACTGTCAACCTGTTTCAACAGATCCGTAGAATCCGGCTTTTACACTTTGGGTTTGGGATCCTCTATCTTGCCTTCATTGGTATCCTGGCGGCAAGTACAGTCATCACCTTCAGACTAGGATATCCGATCCAGCTGTTTATTCCGGCCGTTGGTATTTCAGTCTTTGAAATGGAGCAAGTAGCGAGCTTGTTTGGGGGATTGGTGGTGCTATCCTATAACATTCGTTCAATTTACTACCCGCACTAGAAGCTACGAATTCAAGTATTCATAGAACGATAGACCGTTATAAATATCGTGTCCTGCACTCAATCGACTCTAACCACTATTCCATATCTTCTGCTACTGTCGCACGCACTTTAAGTCCAAAATCTCGAAACAGAGCGTAGCTCTCCGACCGCATGGGACTCAGAGGCTCCGTGAGCTGAAAGTCGAACGCTCGTAGTAACTATGTCCTCAAAGGTCAGCGAAAACTATATCCTAGGGGCAAATTCCGTTTTACAACAAACCTCGAAGTACACTTTCTGCAGCTCCATAAACGCCAACGGCTTTCCAGCACACATCCATCGACCGTGGCCAAAGTTCATTTCGACGTTACGTCGCATCTCGGCGAGGTCGGAAGCTGAAAGACCCAGAAACCGTTCTGGTCGGAAGACGTCGGCATCCGGGCCAAAGAGGGCTTTTGAGCCTAAAATAGCCGAGAAGTTTATGGCGATGGATGTACCGCCGGGAATGAAGTGCCCGTTGATGGTATCGCCTCCAGCTGGTACTTCCTTGGCTTGCTGCCCTGTTGTCACTGGTCGCATGCGAAGACCTTCATATATAACTGCCTGTTGGAAGTCAACTATCTGTATCAAATGTGGGGTGAAGTAAGCGAAAGGGACTCACTTGGAGATAAGGCAACTCGCGTGCCTGAGCAGCTGTAATTGGACTTGAAGCTCTTCCCTCACGAATAGTAACTCGGATCTCTTCCTTGAGCTTCCGATAGACGCGGGGAGAGGACATGAGGTAGAATAGAGTGACTCGTATAGCCGACGCCGTGGTATCGGATCCCGCGACGAACATGAAGAGCGTCTCAGATTGGGCGTTGCCTTCGGACAGACCATGGACCTTGAATGAGCTCTGATAGCAGAAGACATCAATGGCCGTTTGGGAATAATGTTAAATGGGGAAGTGGGACACTCTGACGTACCAGCATATCTCTCTTCTCTGTTTGGTCCTGACTATAGCGTTGCCTAACATTGTCATTCGTAACTCTGAGCGCGATAAGTCAGCCAAAGGACGCTCTGAGTAAATTGTTGAGCGATTCGGGATGAGGATCTTTTACTTCATCAATGGGCCGATCCCATGAGTATCAGTCTCGCGTGGCCCAAAGTACTTGAGAAACGTGGTTGAGTACATTATGGCTCGTATCCACGGCACATCACTCGTCAGCGCCATCAGAGGCATATGCTCAGCCAACCCTTCATAGAACCTATACGGATCCGAGCCAGAAGCGCAGCAACCAAACTCCGTCCCAAGCGCCACTTTGGAAATGACATCTAGGGTGAAATATGACAGGACGTTAAGAAGCGGTAGGGTACGGAATACACCAGATGCCGGCTCTGAAAGATAACGCCGCCGAATCAAGGATACGAGATTGTTGACCTGCTGATCGACAGCGCCCTCGAGATTCGGCGTGTCACGACCACTATACGCAGGGGCAACCCTTGCCTTTGCGCGATCATGCTGTCGCGGGTCCCTCACCGCAAACATAGTGTCGTGATACGGATTGAAGCGCACACCATCGACCCAAGATGATTTGCCATATGAGCTCTTTGTCGCCGACATGCGCTTGACGAGCTCGACATCTGAAGTGAGCAGGACTTGTGGCCCGATTCTAACAAGTGAGCCGTACTTTTCGTCGAGAGCGACGAATACATGATGTTGTTTACCGCTGTAGGCTATCCAGCCGTTCCATATGTAGCTGAGTCCTGCGAACCAGGGGCCTGGGACGTGTCGGAGGCGGTACCATGCTAGAAAGGATGTGCCGAGCCACCAGGTTGATAGCAAGCAGAAAGCGGTTATGCCAATGCCACTGGAGGTTGTGAGATCTGATACATAAGAGAAGGTCATCGCTGCTGTAGGTTTTGTCAGATATTGACTTGACTGCCTCTAAAACGAAATGTAGAGCGTAAAGCCTTGAGGGGCTGAATGGGGATACAACCGGGGTCTTATGCCCATTTTCAAATCAAACCGCAAGTCTACATATCCTCCCTCACAACCCAAAAACAATTCGCCTTGACAGCTCTTTTGCTCTGTATTTAGCCGGTTAGTGGTCAAGACAGCCACATCTACCTTATACAGCCTCGCGCATATGCAGTTGCTTTGTCACGCTTATGCGTTACATTGCAGATTGGCACAAATACGACCACATTGAACAGCCAAGAGCCAATGATTGCCTTCTCATTTATCTTGTCCGTTTTCAAGCGTATCACTTGATCTGTCACCTCTGGGTCTGCAAGTAAGAAAGTCACATGGTCTGCATGCATATATAAACGTCATACATCCCGGAGCAAAACCCGAAAATGAGCGTGATGGTCGCGGTCCCTTAAGCCGCATTGGTGTAGAAGGCCTCAAAATTAAGTATTGCAGCATTAGATGAAAGGGGAGGCAGCGAGGGAAGCATGTTTCTATGAGAATTGCGATCGGTCCGCTTGTCTGCTTCCTAACTGGCATGAAGAGTAACAGGACGATTACTAGAATGTCGTTAAAAGGGAGACTTTATACATTATATTCAAGATCGGCGACCGATTAATGCATGCCGAGGCAAAAGTCTGGATATTCTTACCTCGTACGGCAAATGATATTCCTGTTATCTGACTTTCAGGATAACGTTATCCGGAGGCAATAATTCTTCTACCAGCTAACCAACCCCACCAATGGAGGCCCCCGACATCGTCGATCGGACGTTCTCTTTGTGACTTGATGCATCATGCCATGTTTCAACGGATGTTCGCAAGTTAGTTGGTATCATGATACTCTCTACTCTAAGAACATCTATGGCTCTTCCCCAGTGGGACCAGAATGCTGGCCTGGGAGGCTACTTTTGTGCATGATACTCCATAGAAGGAGGTAATATCCCAGAGGATTTCGGCCTGATTCACCCGAATACTGAGATAGTATTTCCGCCGTATTTTTGCACTCAAAATGGTAATTCAACTTCTGGAACTGATATATCCACTCTGAAGTACCGCGTCCTTGGTGATTGCCAGGTCGCCAGCTATTCATAGTCGTCTCAACAGTCACTATCCGTGCAATCGGAGGACTTCGCAGCCTTATGGCTCGGAGCATTTATCAAGCATCACTTGCTACATGAACCTTGTGTTGGCATAGCGCACGGTCGGTCCAATATCAACCCATGTAAACATGAAACCGTGAGCTGAAAGAGCTGAAACAAGTGCACGGGTCAGAAGGCTTCCGGGTGGAGGTCACTGTTTGACCAATATTGAGATTGAGGTGCTGGCTGAGAAATTTTAATGTTAATATATACACAGACTTGATCGAGGCTATCTGAAATCAATCGTTTTTGGTCACTACGGCAGGAGGAGATCCAAAGACTCACACCATGGACTTTGCGGGCTTCGAGACTTAGGATTGGTTTAATGGAACCAAGCCACCTCCTGCCTCTCTGGATGATGCACTTCTTATCTATGAGTTGGTAGATGATATGAAGGTGAAGGAACTCGCTTCTCTGCTGAGAAAGCTTGGGTGAAGAGGTCGGCTGTCACTTGTTTAGCACGCTGGACTGACGTTTGCTCGTAGACTCAGATGTTAGTTGAGGATTCGCCCTATTTTCCTTGTGCTGGGAACGGCCTACTGTTTCGTCACGTTGGTAGATAACAGCAATCTTAATGTCACGAGCGAGAAGCTTCATAAGTATCGCTGAGTAATTCTGGCGGCGATAAATATTCATCGTTAGATAGTTTACATTTAGCTCCCCCACCATAAGGCGAGACAATGCTTGAGACACTTGCAGTGGGGATGTAACTTAGTGATGTTCACGTTGGAAAGGTGGTACCCAGCAATGTTATACGAGCCAGATTCAACTATCTGGTCCGCCATATACGTTTCCAAAATTGTCTCACAAAGTCAACCCTAAGGGACTTTCACGGCGTCTGTATCCTTGGGCGTAAGAAAGTTACTCAGCCAGCTACTGTCGACCCGCCCCTTAGGGAGCAAGAAAAAACCAGACGTTGATATAAGGCGTTAAAATAAAGTCAGTAAAAGACATCCTAAACTCAGTACATTTATTATAAATTTATATAACTCAGTAAAAGATATCCCATACTTAGTAAAGTTATTATAAGTTTATATGAAGTTACTGAAGAAATTTTATTGTTTAGGATCCAGGCTCTACATTATCTTTCCTCTGCTAGCCGCCGAATCCCCAGTCTATGTATCGACCTATAAAAGTTAGCAAGATATTGATTTGTATGGAGACGAGGTAGCCTACTCACATCCTCGGAAGACGAACCAGTTCGTCGGATATCTCGTGCTAGGTCCAGAATACTTTGAGCAACGTCTCTAAGCTCTGGATCTACGATCTCATGTTGGGCCGAGGGTTCAGGTGGGTATCCACCTTGGGTGGTGTACCCGCCCCTCGAGGTCTCGTACCCGTGTCCGCCTGGCCAAGGCCCTGCCAGATCTTGATAGCTGGTGTGGCTTCGGGGGGTGGGTGGTGGAGACGGAGGTCTGGGTGGAGGTAGAGGTGGAGGTGGATATCCGCCTTGGTCTGTGTACCTGTCCCTCGAAGTCCCATGTCCATACCCATCATGCCGAGAGCGCGGCTGATACCGATCCTCATTGTGGTTTGAGTTTCGGATGGAAATCCCATAGTCTTCGGTGGGAGGATGTAGCCACACTCGTGGCGTCGAGCCCCCAGAGCTATGGACGGGCGAGTTGCTGTCAGGTCTGACTCTACGGGAAACCTGACCACTCGGTGTCGGTACTTCCGTGGCTGGTGTTGGTGCACGGGGGCCATAACTCTGTGTCGACGGCCTGGGACTCGATCTCTGTGCAGGATTTGAGCTAGAAATCCCATAGTCTTGCGTGAGTGGATGCAGCCGCACCGGAGGTAGTCGCTGTCGTGCCGCTGAGGGTGCAGCGTTCTGATCGCTCGGATTTTCCCGGCTCTGTGGTTCATAAACCATTGGTGGGTGGACTGGGTGCTGTGGTCTAGGAGGTACCTGGTTATGTTGTGCCTGGCTATGTTGTGCTGGTACGAGCTGACTGTTTTCCGGTCGAAGGTGTATCTCCGACGATAGCTCAGCCATAGTACGAACAACGGGAACACGCGTGCCCCGAACATCCATAGTCATGTAATTATGGCCTGGCATGTACAAGATTGGCTCTGCGCCAGCAGCGAGGATACCAAAAATGTCCTCCTCCACTGAAAACCCAACAATGAGAGCAGTCCTGGCAGAGACTTGGCATTCATTCAACGCCTTTTGAAACACACGACGGTCAGGCTTGCGCACCAACAGATCCCATGTACGTATCATAGCACCGACGTCGTGCCAGAAATTGAGATCCTTGACAACCTGCCAGTCAAAACCGTGGTCGACAACAACGATACTGTACCCGAGACGCTTCAGCAGCTTAAGGAGATGAGAAGCGCCGGTAGCTTCTGATCGATTGCGGTTGAATTCAGCGGCGAACGCGTTGCTGAGGAGCTTACGATCACTCAGCGACGGCAGTTCGAGCTTGAGCTGCTGAAATATCAATCCAACTTTGTCCATCGGAGCTTGCGGCCCTCGGAGCTGGGTTTGGATGTGCTGTCGATACGCCGCGTCCATGGCACCGCGATAGGCTATCTTGAGTTCATCCATGGATTTGCTTTCAAGGTCTTTGTTAAGATCCATGCATCTCTTCAGAGCGCACTCAATAGCATAGTCACGGTTGAACAGGGTGTCGAGCGTGAAGAAAATGAGTTTTCCGCCTTGGAGTTCCTTTGGCAGTTCCTCTGGGGGTTTCGGAGGCGGCTGTGGGTTGGGTGCCACTACCTCCTTGCTTGAGCCCGCCTGAGAGGACATTCCGCGAAAAACTTGCTGAAGAATTTTTGGGTGGAGTTTGGGAGGATGAGGAAAGCTCACCTAATTTATAGAAGAATTGATGTGCTCACATTTAGGCAAAGTGTGTTTTGAAGGATTAAATGAACAATGACTTTGGTCTGTTTATTCGCGCAAAAAGTATTTTCGTTATGGCCGCGCGCTCGGGATGATGACTGGTCGTGACGAAGAGAGGCAGCCTGATGGTGTTGCCGAAGATCGAGATATGAAAGTATAGATCTTGGTTTGCTGATTTCTAGTAAATTCTATCTTTGACACGTTTCCGAGATCGATGATTTTAAGTTTGCGCAATCAACCAAGCCTGCGTACAAAATATTGCCTTCCAACATGTGAAGTTAATTTGGATTCTCCAGTGTGTTGATTTGATACGTCTTGTTGAGGTGTCATAAGCTTGAACTACCAATCAAGATATCACACGTTGGGCGAACTGACTTCAGTTCCCCCGATATTTACTATCAGATCCGCCTTTGACGGCAATTCCGAATTTCTGTTTCGTCCGTTGTCTCACTAATCCCTTGAGACAAGGAGGATCTCCGATTGAAAGGATATTCATGATTTAAAGAGTGCAAAACACTATGTAGTAGACTCTAAACAAGCTATTCGATCTATTTGGAGAGAGCAAATGTAGAACAACCTGCGGCAAAGTATTTCAGAATAAGTCGAGTTGATAACACGCATACAATGCTTACAGCGCTCATCGTGCTAAACTCTCCGTATTGTGACCATGAGATTTACTACGGGGTTGACTGCCGCTTACAAGGCTAAGCTTTGCGCGTGATTCAAACTCGAAGGACGTGTCCTGCTTGTTCAACCAACTTGGATGCCTTTGCTTGCTGATGTGACACTCTTGCTAAGCTTTCGCATCACGGTACGATCTCAAAGTATAGTGCCAAGGTAAGAGTCACACAAAAGCGAGACTGCTGTTATTTTTTTTTCTCGTTGCTTGTCCAACGACTGTAGAGTTCCAGGAACAAAAGTCAGATAAGGCGGCAAAAATTGTCACATGTTTATACAATCACAAATCTGTGTTTTAAACTGATTCACAACGAATTGGCGGAGAGAGGAGACAGTCACTTGCTCAAATGGCGGAGCCAAATACTTGTAGACTCACAAACACTCAAACCGGGAATAGATTTCGCGGGCCTGGTAGCCGATTGTAACCATAAGGGTACCAGATTGATCGACACATGCTCATTTCGGCAATGGAGATATCGCACGGTCTTCGGGTCATCTATTCCCGCAGCTCACTCAACAAACAATGGATAAAAGCAACTAACGCTGGGTATCCATTTAACCACTGCCATGGCCATCAAGGCTCTGGTGGGTCAACAGCAAAAGGCCTAATCCCGTGTTTCAGTTGGCGGCTTGTTGAGCACGTGGGCCGTCAACTGCTACGTCCCATGCCATTGGGAACAGGGACCAGGTCCCATCAAAGATGCCTGAGTTTAATAAGCTTGTTGGCATTTAACTAACAAGGTTTGTGCGAAATGCACGAAACTTCGAATCTGGAAGTCTATTCATCTCAATACCACGATGAGCCAATCACCGCTGATCAACATTAATATGCGCATCAAGTGGCTGCAAAGTTTAAACTACGATTCTTCAAAGGCGATTCGTGGAAATATTACCGATGCCTGCACTAATGCATTGCGAGCCGTGCCCTATTTCGGTCCCCAGCACGTTTGATGATCAGTGCGAGTCATTTCTACTGTCAAACTGCGAGACCCTTGCATTTAGGCCTGGCCCAGGGTGAACGGTAAATGCCGAGCTGTCACGAATGCCGTTTTCCGACAATGAATACGAATTTCCTGTCTGGTATTGACCTATCTCAACTTGTACCCAAATGCTGCACTATCCTTCAAGGTCCTTTTGGTGGAACTGGCAACAAGGCTGTTCCATACTAGTTTGCCTCTGCTCCCTGCGCTCCACACTTCTTCTCACAGTAGTAGGTAAACTGAGATTCATCGTCAGCCAAGACTTCAAAAGATGCCCAGTGACAGGGACTGGGCATGATATGCTACGTTACTCACCTCGTCACCGCCAATATGCCAGCCGTTAGATCCACACGCAAGACCATCCTACCAGGTGTTAGCGCCTCATTCCACCAAGACATTGCATCTTGGGTGACCCACAAAGCGACAGTCAGGGCACTTGTCCCACTGTTTGCTGCCAGTATTACGGCTTTTGTAGTAGTCGCAGGCACACTTGGTAGCGCCAGGAAGAATCTCATAGTTCACCTTCCAGTTGTAGCTGGGGCTCCATGGCGTTCCTCCGATGGGGTCGTAGCGGCGGTTGGTGACGCAGACAGCTTGGCTGTGAAGCTTTGCCGACGCACTGTTGACATCTTGTCAGTAGTGATACATGCTGCGAGGAGTTTGGGCTCGTACAGAGTCGCGAGAGCGAAGAGAGAAGTGATGCTCAGGAACTGCATTGTGACTTGTGATGATAGGGAGGGATAATGGAGATTTGGGCTGGGACTCTGTATGAGGGATACAGAAGGATCGAGGCGAGAATGTGATACTGGATGATCTGGTCCTTGACAATGTGATCTAGAGCGCTTATATGTTCAATATCACGGCTAAATGTCAAGGACGACTCCGGAGACGGATGATCCAACTTTTCCATGCTGACCCATTGCCCAGACATTTCCTGACTGTTATCTGAAGCTATACCCATTATTCACAGCTGACCTGCCAATTTCGTACTTGAGTCATGCCACACGATAGATAGCCAGGATCCATCATCTCTCCAAGTCCTATCGCTCTCCCACGAGGTCCGGCAGTTACCTTGTAATCACAACTCCAGAGCTGAGAACACCATGAGTGAAGTCGTGATAGCAGTGGCCGTGTAAAATATTCAACCAGTAACAATTTATTCCGTACTTCGGACCGACACATCAAACTTGCCGTCGTGATCGTCAGTGTTAGTTGGACCCGTCGACTAGCGAGTCACCTTCCTAATACACCAGGAGCTCAGGTCTTGCCGAGACCTAGATGGGACAAATCCACAATCACCGATACATTGAACTTTTGTAAATGGATGATCTTTTTAGCCGCGTAAATAGCTTCAAGTCTGGCTTCGTGGGAGATTGCGAGGGAGCTTCCGGAATCGGATGAGAAATCAACTGCCGATGTGATGGTGAGTTATTGATGGTGTTGACAAAACAGGATAGCTTGAGAAGTTGGTCCTACAGCTGGGCATATTCAGGTATAAAAAGCTGAGATGCTCTTGATGATAGTACAGCTCTCATTCCTCAACCAGCATCTTCTCTCAACATCTCAACAACCTCTTCCCATCTTACCCTTTCTACAGTCTGTGAGGATGATTGCACCTCAGTTCATCCTTCTCAGCCTGGCAGCTGTCGCCAGTGCTGCCCCCTTCATGACCGAGCGCGATCTCAACTCCACACTCTGGACCCCCGACCACATCCTCAAGCAAGATGAAGTTATCCTCTACGGCGAAGGCCGCAGTAAGTCACCCTCCCATTCTCCAGCTCATCGCCGCTCAACATAACTTAGTGGAGGTTGTTCACGTCAGCGTCTATGAGAAACTTCTGGAGTCAGAGGGCATCTCCCCCATCACCCCTGAAATCGACCAAGACTGGCTTGACACCGACTCCAACGCCGTTGCACCCCGCGACCTCGAGGAACGTCAGTCCTGCGGCGCCACAACCTCGTACGTGACCGACCGCACCCAGCGCTTCGTCGACTGGGATGTGCAAATGTCCCCCGTCGTCATCGGCGCCGGCAGCAGCGGCATCGACGTCAGCGTCGCTTCATCCTTCAGCATCTCCAACAGCGTTTCCGTCAGCGCGGGTCTAGACCTCAAGGCCGTCAAGGACCGTCTCGGCGCTAGCTTTGGTATCAACTACTCCCGCACCTGGACAACTCAAGCCACCGTCACTGTCCGCGGTACCGTGCACGCTGGTGAAACTGGTGTTGTTATCACGCGGCCTTGGACTAATCGTCGCTATGGACGGCAGTTTAGGGGATGTGTTGGGTCGATGCAGCAGACTGGTACGTGGATGGCTGATGCGCATGAGGAGGGGTCTTATGAGGGTGTTAAGTGGGTTGCTGGTGCTATTACCATGTGCATTAAGAGGCAGAGTGGTATTCCTCTTTCTCGATGCAACGGCGGTGGAAACTTCCGGTAAACTGCTATCGATTGGTCTGGAACCCATACGAGTCATGGACCTAGCATCTCGCATGGCTTGACAGGGCGGGGAGCAAATGTCAACGGATATAGCACGGAGATCCGGCCACGTGGTGACCATTGATGTAACATTGGAGATTATTGAAAGACCTTGGCTTAACGGTGATACATTATGCACTTCATGGTGGATGAGAACTTTATGACTTATTGGTATTATTTGATGGCACTTGTAACTTGAATACACGACCAGTAAGCTGAATTATACCTGGTGCTTATGCTTTATGATTTGCTTATGAAGTGGGCGGTCTCATTTTGTTCTCTCTTTCTTGCCCGACTGATATGAACAAGTTAGCATAAGTCAGCGAATATATATCAGTATTTAGATCCAACGTTCCAGCGGAGGAGAGGCGGTTTAACTGACCTCATTGCAGCATACACGGCATGCGGGGAAATTGGCACTAAAAGAGATAGCATCGCCTAGTGCGGTCTGTCTAGGCGTGCCTAACCTGAAACTTGAGAGGCTCATTTTTCGGATGGTCTAGATGCTGAAGTAAGCCTTCCTGAATCCTCTGTTATGGCATGGAATTGACGGGGTGTTAAAGTCTAGTCAAATTTCCGATCGACCGGCCGCAAGGAAGGAAGCATGTTTTGCCGCGATCTGCCGTTATTGAATAATGAGTGATGACTTAGACTACCTAGCCACGTTATTGGAGACCCCAGTAACATACCACATTAACTCAGATCAATTTCAATCCTTCTGTAATAAGATATGAGTCTTGTTATAAAAGAAGTTTGGTGAGTACTGTGACTTGTTAAGAGTAACGAGCGATCTTAGAGTAACGAGCGATCTTGGAGTACGGGGTCTGGGGTAAACTAAAACCCCAGCTTCAAATTAGGGTCTAGGGATCATAACTATCACCAAGCATAAACTAGCGCAAACTCTATTACTTGCCGTAGACAATTGCCGCCATCCTGAGCCGAGGATGGTTTTGTATTTGTATCACTTGACTCTCTATGGCTGATGATGTTCCGATATGCCGATGGGATATATTAAGCCAATACTTGGCAAGTCCACAATTCGTATCTCTCATCTATGCTCGAACCTTGAAACCCACAGGAGATAACTTTGGTGGAGACCGAGATACCACTAACAATGAAGTCAACCACTATCCCAGGACTATCTCTCCTGGAGAAGTTTGGTCTTGCGGTAAAAGTTCTTCTGGGTAAGATGCGATTCCGCTCCACATCGTCCTTGGCCTCATAGACTCACAGTTTCAAAGTACCCGGAACCATCGTGGGCATTCTCATCCGAGGCCTACCACTCGCCATCAAATACAAAATTCCATTAAAGCTCTGGCTCACCTGCATGGTCGGACGCATCCTCCTCGGCAACTTCAACCCACGCCAGGTTCAATTCCTCTGCATACCAACAATAGATGCCTACACAGCCTGGATCAAGAAACAGCGTGGCCAGGGTCATGACACTCGTCTAAGCATCGACATCGAGCCCCTTACTGGCACTGACGCATCGATACTGTGGATCGGCAATCGCAAGAAAGCAACTAAATTCGTCCTCTTCCTACACGGTGGTGGATATGTCGCGCCCCCTCTGCCAGGTCACTTTACTTGGTGCTGGGAGGCATATGTCAACGGTGGACCTGGTGTAGAGACAGAAGTCGCTGTTGCGTTTCTGCAGTATACCCTGGCGCCAGGTGCGAAATATCCCGATCAGCTGCGTGAAGCTTCCGCTGCTCTCGATCATCTGCTTCGAAGCGGCGTGAGTCCAGATGATCTGATAGTCGGCGGTGACTCGGCCGGAGGGAACTTGACAGCTCAGCTGGCTTACCACCTCCTCCATCCCCATCCAGCGGTTCCAGAAGTGAAGCTTCAGAGCCCATTAGCAGGAATGTTCTTAGTCTCTCCATGGCTTAGCGACCGAACAGATACAGCCTCGTTCAAGCAATACGGCAACGTCGACATGCTATCTGCAGGTTTACTCCAGCAAACCTCACCCCATTCCTTCAACATTGACGACTTGAAGCCAAAGGTCAAGGAAGCTCATCCAGCGTTAGCCATGGATGGAGATTTATCATGGTTGAGCGATCTCCCACCGGTAACTAAAGCGCTCTACGTTACTGTCGGTGGACGCGAGGTCTTCTGTGATGCAGTCGTTGAATTTGGGAAAGCTGCCGAAGAGAAATGCCGTTCGATTCCTGTTGTTTTTGAAGTTGGTGAGCATGAGTGCCATGACTTTATACTCATTGAGAACCAAGCAGAAGTGGTAGGGGATGCCACGGAGAGAATGAGGAATTGGTCTTCGAGGATATTAGTGGAGTAGGGGTATTGACGAGAGGTGCACTGTGGAGGAGGAGTTGTCAGTCGATGGAAAAGACAGGAGCTACAAATCAACATGGTACAGACATGGGCAAGATGCTTGAAAGATGTTTAGTATTATCCCGTGGACCTGACATTTTGAACATCGATGACAAGTAACGCACAATATTTGTATGGAATCTGGTCTGAATGTCAGACTTCGGTAACTTTTAATCCTATGATAGTCCCAGAGTATGGACCATACTAGGTTCAACAACGTTGACCTCAGCTCTTCCATCCTCTAAAGGTCTAAGCAGATGCCTTCATCACCTCAGTAAGTTCTACCAGCATCTTCCGCCCATTGACAACCTTGATGCCTGCAATCAGCAACGTAGAAGACATGCTACCAACGCCAGTCTCCTTATTCGAGTCGGTAAAGCGCACAAACTGGGAGACACAGCCAGCACCTGAGCCATCGGGCGCATCCCAACATTGGAGCTCCTTGGTTTCGTGGATGGTGGTCTTGTTATCGACGCGGAACTTCATGATGATATCGTGGAATGATTGTCGTGTGTAGTGATCATGGTTGATTCTAAGGCAAGCGATTAGTTTCACTCGAAGTGAAGCTTGTTTTGGGGTTTGAATTACCTGGCTGTGAAATCCTCTGCAATGCACTCTTTGATAGTGGTCGCTGAGACTTCATCATCTGGCTGGACAAAGATTCGGGCGTAGAGATCTTCCATCCAACTGCCCAGGGCAGAAACTGGGAGAGTGGATTCGAGATTGTTAGCCATGGTGGATGAATATCAGGTTTGTGACAGTTTTGTAAAGTATGAATAATGATGTGAGATAGAGAATCAATACTCAGCTTGAACAGCTTCATAGGCACTTATTTATACCCATTGTCCAGGCCATGTGCTTCGATATGTCTGTATAAGTCGGGAGTCGTCCGAGTGGATCAAACCCAAGATTTTAGTCTAGCGTGCGGAACTCCGCATCTTAGTCAAACACGCCCGGAATGGTCGGGCTCGGCGCTGACCGACTTGTTTTTCCAGCGGCTACTACCTGCAGCACCATTCTTTAACCACTAAACAAAATTAGTCACGATTCTCACAGAGCGTCTTGGTTCCATCTCGCAGACATGGTCTCGTCAAGACAAAAGTCGTGCTCGGCTTGTGTCCGAGGGAAAAGGCGGTGCGACCTCGGATTTCCGCAGTGCGGACGCTGTCTTGCGAGGAGAGTTAGTTGTGTGTATGCTTGGATGTCATCTGAAGACGCGCAAGACAACGGAAGTTCTGATGTAATTGTTTGGAACGATGGAGCACTCACTGCCGAAACCTCTCGGCCCAATTATGACTCGTTTGGGGCAGAAGCCGGTCATGATAGTTCGCTTTTCCCAACTCCTATTACGATTCCCCCTCCGCTGGTGCCACTTATAGACGAGATCGTTGGCCGAGGAAGAACCATATCCTTGTTCACCCTAGACCCTTATCCTCAACATCCAAACCAGCCGTCTCCGGATTCACAGACGCTCTACACGGAAACGGCGATTGGCCGCCCGTTACTACCGTTGCAAGGGTCCCGGAATAGGCCCGTGTACACAAACAATACTTTGAAAGAGCGCGCAGAGTATGAGGCCCATCGTCTAGTTCATCAGGTCAAGAGCTTTACAGAGTCGGGACAAACATGCTTCATTCACTACTCTCAAACCAGCAACTCCACTGCGCTACGCGATGCTTTCGCTGCTTGCTCTCTACACACAACACGTAACTCAGTGAATGCATCCCTTGTGGCATCGGAGATATCACGACGAGCAGAACTACTCATACGGGCTACAGACGCAGCAATCGAGCTATGTCCTCCGAGCTCTCAGTCGACCATAAGTCTTAAACTGCTGCCCTCTATACAGGCCATGCTGATGTATCAGTGCATCCGGCTATTCTCTGGCGACAACTCACAGCAAGAACAAGCTCAGCAGGACGCCAAGTCACTCTCCAGATGGATCGATGTTTTGCAGGCACAGACGTCGGAAGTTTCCTCCAACAATTCGATGCTTAGTCGTTCTTGGGAAGACTGGGTCCGGGAAGAGAGCATCCAGCGAACCATGATCGTTGCAGACCTTGTTGAGAGTATTTACACTTTTCTCAAATTCGGCTGGTATCAACCCAGTCCAAGGCTATCCGAGCTAAGTTTCACAGGCCATGCAGCGATATGGAACGCAAGGTCGCTGGCGGAGTGGCAACAAGCCATAGAGCAAAAGACGTGGCTCAGATTGGAGATGTCGAGGTTTCGTGATAGTGTCAAGGGGGTTTCTTTACATGAGCTTGATGAATTGGGTATTATGATTCTGGTCAGTTATGAGGGCTTTGAGGTGTTGAAGGAGTGGGCTGGTGATGATAAGAAGATGCTTGAGAAATGGGGTTTAAGCTCTGGAGATAATAATCCATTTGAATAATTTCACACGCTTAGATAAGATATGTCTGCACCCTCGCATAGAGCATTAAGGTAAAGCGGGCTTATCGTGTCACAACATCGAAGCTAGCATACACAAAAGACACATGTAGTTGTACGGTGACCAATTCTTTCTAAATTGAGCTATCGATATCTCTATCTACTTCCCAAACCCCCTTATTCCTCCCTCCAAAATCGGCCAGAGTTACCATGACTCTGTTACCCCCAGGAGATCACGCAATGAAGCATGCAGCCCGCTAGTAACTACTCCTCATCCTCCAATCCCACCAACTTGAGCGAGTCCTTCCACAGCCGTGCCGCCTTCTGGACATCATACGCGTGCGGAGCATACCCAGGCCCGATCATCTTATCGTCCCCATCAACCGTTGGCTTTGCAGCATCGCAGTCAACAAGGTATTTGCCACCATTATGCTTCCAAGCCTCACCAACAGCTGCCCATACCGTAGTTGCAGCTCCTTGCTCGACACTCTTCATCATAGGATAGATATGCTCCATACCCTTGAAGGCGTCGGGAGGCATGTGTCTAGTCAGTCCTGTGGCGACGACGCCTGGGTGGACACTAGTGGCGTGAAGGTGTTTCGCGCCGTAGCGGCGCTCAATCTCATTGGCCATGTAGATATTTGCTGTTTTGGACTGGGCGTAAGCGAGGTTGGGCTCGTAGTCGCCGTGCTCAAAGGCGTAGTTGTCAGCGTCGTTGATGCCCTGGATGTTATGGCCAGACGACGAAAGAACCACAACGCGGGAGGGGAGCTCAGGCGAGGCAGCAGCAAGGAGTGCAGGCTTGAGAAGCTGGAAGAATAGGAAGTGCGACAGGTGATTGGTGCCGAACTGGAGTTCATGACCATCAGCCGTAAAGCGAAGGTCAGGAATAGCCATGATACCAGCATTAGCAATGAGGCAGTGGATCTTGGAGGTCTTCTTGAGAATAGCAGTAGCAGCAGCGCGGACGGATGTAAGAGACCCCTGATCCATCTGGAACAGTTCCATACGAGAGGGGTCGAAGATGCCATCTAAGGCTGTCTTGGCCTTGTCAAGGTTTCGGGCCGTAAGGTAAAGAGTTGCACCTGTGGCTGCGATTGCTCGGACAGTCTCGATGCCGATTCCAGAGGATGTGCCGGTGATGACGAAGATTTGACCTTGGCGCTTTTCCTCGAGACCTTCGTCTTTGATGATCTGGAGGGCTATTGGACGGGCATCGCCTGGGCCTTTGGTGTTGGCGTGGACAGCGGTGTAGCGAGACATGATTGTTTGCGGATTCGAAGAAGAGAGTTGATAAGTTTGCAGCCCTTGGTGCTTTTGATGTCCTGTTGTATTTGATGAAAGAAAAACCATGAGTTGTATTTGGGATGCAGACATTTATATCCCATGTTTTGGATCTTTGAATATGATGTTGTCTCATTATGTATCATTGTTGAGCCGCACTACGTCGTGAAGAATAACTTACAAATCATTATCCAGTATGGAGTTAAAATCTTCCCACAGAATAATTACCGTCTACTAAAGCTGAAGCATGAGAAAAAAGCATCTTGATTATTCAGTATCGAACTGTAGGGTGAGTTGGTGTACCTGGTTGATGACATTCCTGCCCTTCTAGGTCTAGCCGTCCCACCTAAATGCCCTGAAGCCGGAAGCGTAGGTGGGGCTGATGACAGTATATCCTCATCCAGTTTAGCTTGCGGGACTTGACTACGCTAGCCCAGGCGGAGCATTTCTCAACTCGCCGACAGAACTCGGCTACCAATTTCATCGTCCTCTCCTTCCAATATCTCAAAGTCGATAATACACATCATATGGACTCCAGAAATAATTTCTTCGCAATTTCCGGGGCGAATAGGCAGCGAAGAAAGCTACAAAACCGGAAGAACCAGAGAGCCCGTCGTGAGTTTTCCCTGGCCAAATGGCTAGAGGTGCTTATTAATATCTTTAGGGCAACGTATCAAGGGTAAAGATTTTGAGATACACCAAGGACCGGAGTCATTTGAGATTAGGCGCTGGCGGGTCGATGAGATTGATGATGACCGTTCCCAAGATGAGGACAGAGACTCAACTACCGTGCTTACAAACTATCATGCGTCTTCTACACTTCCCTACACTACCGAAAGTGCCACTGTTGTTCAAGAACCATCATCCGCAGACCAACCCAATCAAAGCAGGACCATATACTCAGCCTCTCAGCCCATTACCATCGCCTTCCCCCTCCCCTCCGATCAACTGCTCCATCTCATACAATTCAACGTCTACCGTGCCTTCATCTCCATCAAACGCACCATAAACACAATATCACTAGACCCAACAACCTGTCCCGTCTTCGGGCCCTGCCTAGACGACACAACCCGATACCCCCCCAACCCCAATATTCCTCCTTCTCTTGCCCCTACTACACTGCAAGTATCTCAATACCATTTCCCCTGGATCAATATCATGCCGTTCGCCCGGCTACGAGACAATCTTATACGACGCGAAGGTCGGTTTGATAATTTCGAATTGTGGCGCGATCTCGTCGGCGATCTTATGAGTTATACTGCTGCGCCTTGGCAACGAGGAACACCATTCAGCTTTTCTCCTACAATCCCTGAGGCCGAGCAGTCACAGAAGTTGATCTTGGAGAATTACATAGATACAGACGAACTTACGGCTGGACGCAACGGGCTGATAATTTGGGGCGAGCCGCATGATATGCAGAGTTGGGAGGCTACACCTGGTTTTCTTACGAAGTGGTCATGGGCTGTCGAGGGCTGCGAAGAGCTCGTGGAGATAAGTAATCGCTGGAGGGTGAAAAGAGGGGCGGAGCCAATGCGTCTGTCAATCTCGACACTGGGAAGGAATAAATAGGCAATGCTGAAAGAGACTATTTATCCTAAATAATTATTACAGTTTAGAGCGCTGTCTGTTACTCTTCTGTATTGAACCGGACAACCTGCTTGCCTCCGGCTATCTGACCCGCTCGCAATTTATCCAACCCCTCAAATATACCTTCAAAGCCGTTCTTTAGCTCAATAGTCGGGATAGGTTTCAAGATGTGAGTGATTCGCGGTAGAGTCTCATAAAAGCGAACAAGGGCCGCTCGATCCTGTGGCCTGGCTTCAAACTTGGGTCCAATTGGTGGTAGCCACTGGAAGGCATGCCCCATAGCTGTATACGACATGACAAGGTCGTAAGTCACACCAGGAGTACTCGACTTCCCGTTGGGTAATAGCGTAACCACCTTCCCTCCACTGGGCTTGAGGACCGCGGCGCAGATGGACGTTGATTTGCCCTCAGAGAAACAATCCACCGCTTTTGTGATCTTGGGATAATCCTTGATGATATCTTCTGCCACGGAGGGGGAATTGTAGTCAAAGACAGCATCGGCACCATACTGCTTCACTAGCTGGGATGAACGTGGCGAGGCCGTTGTGACGACCTTGTATCCAGCTGCTTTTGCGAGTTGGATATGGTATAGGCCTGCACTGGTTGATCCGGCGTAAATGAAGACAGCTTCATTCTTGGGCGTAGCAGGTTTCGTGTCGAGGAAGGGAAGCCCGTGATGGACATTGAGGACCAGCATGGCTGTCACAGCTGAGACACCATATGTAGTTGCCTGAGTATCGCTTATTCCCTCCGGGACTTTAAAGGCCAGATCCGAATCTATCTTCAAATACTCTGCAAAGGCGCCTTTGTCAGGGTATAAGCCTCCATGCACAGCGCCAGCAACACGATCGCCAATTTTCCATTTATCCTTGGCGGAATCACCCACTTGGTGGACGACACCTGCGTAATCACATCCGATGATGGAGTTGGGTGGAGAGATAATGTCGAGATGCTTAAAGTCTGTAGGGTTGAGGGCTACAGCTTTGACTTTGACGAGGATTTCGTTGGAGGAGATGGAGGGAATGGGTACATCGTCTTGGACACGACCGCCCTGGCCACAGATGGCCTTGTTGCGAGTGGCGTTGACGAGTCGTGTGACGATGCTGCGGTTGGAGACGAGCGCCTTCATGGTAGTCATGATGATAACATTGAACTCAGATGAAAAAAGCGTTGCAATTCGTTATGACAAGTCGCCAAACAGATACTTTATACGTATTGAGTTCCTGATGTGCAACATTTGACAAGCTTTTTAGAGCTAGGAGAAAACAAAACCGCATTTATCAATCCCCCGGACAGTATGACGGTTTTGTTGAGTAATCGGCCATGTTCACTGTTTTAGGTTCAAGCCACTGCCGAATTGGCGTTATCTGGCCTCTGATCTTCTACTTGCGGAGCAACCATCTGCCCGAGACAAGGGCGCTAGTCTTAAAATTTGTCCGGGTCCACGTCCGTCCTAGCGGAGTTTCGGGCTACTAAACGGTGCTCTGAATAACGCTGCCGATACTTGCAGCGAATAGAGCAGGAGTTTGAGAAGAAGCTTCTAACCGTTTCTGTTAACGGTCTTAAAGAAATAGAGTAATTCTTATGGTTGTCTCCTTTATAAACCGAGATATGAAAGCTTGGCACAATTACACCCGCCGCGAAAGCGCGTTGGTTTACAATAATTGCCGAGGCTGAGAATAATGGTCCACAGCATCATGTACACGAGGAGTCAACTGAGATGAACGAGATGATTAGGTAGACTACCTACAGCTGAGAGTGAATTGCCTTGACTACAGTCTTGAGACCAAATTCACGACGTCTACCAAGCCCTGAGTAAGGAAACACAAAGGTGTCATTGGGGGTTGCAGACTTGGGACTTAGCGTTCTTCCCATCGATCAAGGCCCAGCCGGCCTTTCAATGGAGATATTTGAGCTCGAAATATCTGACAGGAATGAGCGTTTTATCGGGCTCCCTAAACTCTTCTATGAAATAATTTGCCAAAGCTCAACATGTTTCAGCAAGACGTCTACGTAACGTTGTCTGGAAAAAATCATGGTTCTTGCTTACATCTTGCATAAAAAGGCCGATCCTTGAGAAAGAACATTGTAATTTATACATGATAGGTCTACAGAATGCCACGTTTGACAGCTGGAGCAGTGGCCAGGCTTTGGCCGTAAAACCACTCAATACGGCGCCAGAGATATTGAACTGAGATTTGTTCATAAGACTGAAGATCAGGGTCAACGTGGGTAAATACTAAAAAGCATCAGGTTGGTACAGCATCTCCAATTCAACGTATTGCATATAAGAGGCATATTGTTCTATCCTGCTGATTGACTTAAGTGACGCCGCTTCAAGGATATAACACTTGCTTTATCCCTTGGAAACGAAAATGTGTGCCAAGGGTAGTCGAATAGGTGGGCCTTATAAATGATGTTAAAATGCTAGCGCCGCTGTCTTACTGTTAGACTTCCTAAGGGATAAGCTAATCTAAATAGAGGTTATATCAGTAGCTTTGTTTACCGGTTAAAGACTAGGTAGCAGGGTTGGAATTGAGTTTGGAACCTAGGCACAACTGGATGAACATCGCCCTTGAGTGTCAGGGGATAAAAGCAAACCTAAATTCTTTACGAACTTGTGCACTTAGCGCCATGATGTGCTCCACTACCTGTTTTAAATACTGAATAAAGTCCTCTTCTTATTCTGTCGATTGTCTGTTAATTTTGTTATTCTACTGGCTTCTGTGTTTTATTTTTCTCTTATTCATCTTTTTCTTACTTTCTATTCCTTCTTTTATATATAGGTTACAACACCATACCATTCACGGCAACATGCGCTTTGGATCTGCGCCTGTTTCTGTCAAAAGATCCAGGCTATATTCAAGGATAATTGTCCTCATATTACTGGTAAGCTCTCTTTGTCATCCGGCCAAGATTGTAAACCATATAGCTCAGACGCCTTATAACATTTGCAGGCACTCGGAATACTCTTATATCTAAGGCCTGGAAATATATTCTTAGAATACCGGTGTAATGCCTTCGATTTTAGGTCTCGGAACTGTCGTGCTGAGCCGCCTACCGCATCTCACGTACAGACAGATAATGCTTTGTTAAAGCAAACACCAAACCGGCTGCCAAACCAGGCTTTCCGCATGAACGCTACATTTGTCACCCTTGCGCGGAACAGTGATGTATGGAACATAGCCAAGTCGATACGGCAAGTCGAAGATCGTTTCAATAGAAAGTACGGATATGACTGGGTGTTTTTGAACGAGAAGCCATTCGATGCGACCTTCAAAAGAGTAACCAGCGCTCTTGTATCAGGCAAAACCTATTACGGCTTGATCCCGCCAGAGAACTGGTCATTTCCTGATTGGATTGACCAGGAAAAAGCAAGGAAAACCAGAGAGGATATGGCCCAGAGACAAATAATCTACGGAGACTCTGTGAGCTACCGCCATATGTGCAGATTCGAATCGGGCTTCTTTTTTCGACAACCTCTCATGATGAACTATGATTACTACTGGCGGGTAGAACCAGATATCCAACTCTATTGCGATCTCGATTACGACCCTTTCAAGTTTATGAAGGAACAGAAGAAAAAGTACAGCTTTGTGTTGAGTCTTCCTGAGTATATCGAGACGATTCCTACCCTTTGGGACACTACCAAGCAGTTTTTCGAGAACAATCCAGGTCATCTAAGCCCACATAACTCCATGGACTTTTTGAGTGATGACAATGGATCAACATATAACAAGTGTCACTTTGTAGGTCATCGCACAATAACAACAGTGGCGAGTAAGAAGACTAACATTTCTGATCTAGTGGTCAAATTTTGAAATTGGCGACTTGAACTTTTTCAGAAGTCAAAAATATCTAGACTATTTCAACCATCTCGATCAAGCCGGTGGCTTTTTCTATGAGAGATGGGGCGACGCTCCGATTCACTCAATCGCGGCCGGGCTCATGCTCGATAAGTCCGAGATTCATTTCTTTGACGACATCGCGTATTGGCACAATCCTTTTACTCACTGTCCAACCGATGTCAAGAAAAGACTCGAACTTCGCTGCCACTGCAATCCAAAAGACAATAACGATTGGAAAGGTTATTCTTGTAAGTTCCCAATGGCCCATGATTAAGAGGTTTTTATTAACGAAGCTACTAGGTACATCGAAGTTCTTTGATTCTCAAGGGATGGAAAAGCCGGAGGGGTATGAGAACCAACAGGATTGATGAAGGAAAGGAGTTCTGGCCGATGGGAAATGAAATTGTGAAGGAAGAGGTCTGGTAGGTGACTGTAGCTTAGCTATATAACGCCAGCCCTTACATTTTATTTTAATATAGCTCTTAAATGTATTTTCCTGATATAATACATAAAAAGAAAAGCATAGTTCTTATATTACTATTGCTACTATGGCATATTATAGTATATTGACTTACTGTTTAAGTCTAGCTATATCAGTCTCGTTAAGAAAGAGTTAGCCAACTCTTGATTACTTACCTGGTGAGTATAGGATATCAAGCAAACACCGCTGATCCTCACAAGGAAGTCGGTCTCGGCAAAACACTTTCTTCGTAAAAACTCTAGAACAACAGTTAAGCACTTCTCGAAAGTGCATAACCTTTAAACTTTTATCCGTGCTCTTCAAGGCCCGCATCCTGGTTTGCGCCAGGGATGCTGATATAGTTTTATAACTCAAGGGCAAATTTCTATTAGAAGATAATACCCCAGCTTCTGTTATAACTAAGAGACGTAATTTTCGACAACATCGTGCCTACAAGGAGTCAGCAAAATAAACAGAATGACTCTGAAAAGATGGAGGCAGATGAAGGTATATTAATATTATAGAAGTATTTATTCATTTTTGTTTAGTAATATTATATACCTAACTCTTTATTTTACAGCTATAAAGTTATAAATCTAGCATTTATAAATAGAGATATATATTAATTACATATTCTATAAATACTATATATAATACTACTCTCTAATTTATGCCTCAAGGTAAATCCATAAATAACTTCAACATTGCAGGATACTTAGGTGTCCCAAGCCCAGTCACTGGATCCCATCCTGGAACTGCAGAAAAACCTTTAGTACCGCATCCCTCGTTGTTTCCTTTGGTGATGTCGTTGAAAATCTGAGGGTTTTGATACATGACTAGATTTATGAAGCCAACAGGACTTTTTCCAGCTTTGAGTCTCTGTTCATTGATGAGGGTCACAATGGAAGCAAATAAAGGCGTCGCCGCGCTAGTACCGCTTATGAGCCCGTACTCACGATCCACATACGTTACTATATCTTGACTGATAGCCGAAACACTATAAAATAAAACATGTCAGGATTTCAATTCAAGATAAAGCGGCAGCGATGGACTTACTCAGGCATACCTCTGCCTATGCGATTGTAAATGCCTCCATTTGCGCCAATGGGAGCTGTGTCATTGTGTGTAGCATTGTGTATAACACTGAAGGATTTGTGACCTGGATCATGGTGCGTGTAATATGTATCGAGTGCTGCTTTCTGATAGCTTGGGATAGAGTAGATGGTACTGAACCCTCCACCACTTGTGTATGTGCTATCCGAACCGTCTTGATGCGGGAGATACGCAGCAACTTCTGGCTCAGTGACTGAAGCGCCAGCGGGTAGTCTAGTTCCACCAACAACTGTAACGTACGGACAGTTTCCGGGAAAGTTAGGATTGAACACCGTATTGTTCGAACCGAGACATCCGTTCGGCTCTGGGTCCCAGGAGCGAGAGGCCACACCGGCATCACCAGAGGCAACTAGAACAGTGTGTCCCTGGAGTGCGAGTTTCATAAATTCATTGCATTGGCGTTGCTGGTAGTAGAAAGGCAAATCCGACTCCGATTTGCTGTACGAGATGGAAATCACGTTCGTTGGTTTCGAGATGCCGCATTGCGTCTTGCCCGTGTAACCGCCAGGTTGTGTATCAGGATAAACATCATCGAATGCAGGATCATTACCCTTCTCCCCAAAGGCTTTGTAAGAACAATATGACCCGTCAATGGCGTTGAGAAAGTTGTTAAACAGTCCTCCAGCGCCGTTTACAGTGTACACTTTGTCGTCGGTTTGGTACAAGGTGATTGACTGAGGGTATACAAGCGGGTAAGCGACCTGCAGGTCAAGATCGGACTCCCCATCGGCCTCGGCTGGCTTGACCGGTGCAGAGCCTCCATCGATTGAAACGAGCTTAGGGTGGGTCCCCTTCGGGATGTTGGGTGAGAATTTGCCAAAGAACAGATCTAAATCTTCTTGGGCATAATAGTCCCCTGTTTCAAAGATTCCGAGGCTATTAGACGGACTTTTCAATTTATTCGTGGGTATATTGTAAAGTTTTCGTATGCAATCGGGAGTAACGGCGTCACCGCACTTGGACGTGCCAGTTGAAGGCGGACTGCTGGAAGCGGGTTGAAAAATAGGTTCCTGTCTCTTGACTTTTGTGTTGGTACGCGATTGCTTAGGCGCGAGAAGCATGACGCCTGGGGTGACAAAGTCGATATGTGGGCGCACAGAGGCAGGAAGATAGTATTCCTCGCATGATAGTGTTGAATACTCTTGTAGGGTATGGTGGTACTTGTGATAAGTCGCGTTAAGCATGGTTTCAGCTTCGATGACTGACATGTTGACGTACAGCCATCCCCTATCTGGGGATAATGCTGAAGACCCTCCATATTTGGAAATCCACGAGCGGACAGTCTCGACGGTATCATTTGAGGGGGCAAAAATCTCAACAATGTCTTGTCCAGAGTAATGCTTACCATAGCTGGGGGACGATGGATCCGACACTTTGTGAATGAGATTGTCGGCGTCCTCGAGATTTGACTGCTTTAAACCAATGCGAAGGTAAAAGCGAGCGTCCGGGTCGATCCGCTCCCCTTTAACCCACATGTCCCCATGGCTATTTCGTGATTCATGAGCGATGCGTAAATCTTCGGCTGTGCACAAGCTCAAAAAGAAAATAAGAAATCCTACAAGGTAATGCATGTTTTGTTTCAAAATACTTGAATAGGATAGACCGAGCAAGCTGAGAATATCTACATTCTGGGAATTTAGTTGCTCTTGTACCGCAAATTCCGTGTGATGTATAGGTATCTTGTTCTTAAGGTCGATCACTAAATACTACCTTCCAGTTCGAGAATCAGAACCCACCCACCCTCTTACAGTAAGAAGGTAGTTGGACTAGCTAATGAAAAGTCCCAATGAATTGTCTTGAGTGAATAGACGCAAAAGCAAGAGCGATCGGTGCCGAATTGCCGAAATACGAGATCTAATTTTGGCGCATCATTGATAGCAAAAGTACCTTAAGGTCTTGACCATTGGCATCTAGGCGCTTAATCAGAGCCCGGCCTATAGTTCTGCGCTTTGACAATGTCAAGCGAGGAAGCAAAAAGTATTGTTGTATTTTGACCACTCAAGCTCAACCAAAACGCCGTTTCGATATGAATTCAATCAGCCCACGGAATCATGACAGCCAAACCTTTTCCAGCCTAGAATGCCATCATGTGTTTCAAAGATCCCGCCTAACGCAATAAACTCAAGTAGAAAGTATTAACCTTGTGTAAATTATTTGTCTTAATTGAGTACCGGACTTGAATCGAGCCCTGGTAATGGAGTGGAAGGGCGAGTTGAACCTCGACCCAAGAGCAAAGGCGTCTCAAGACCGGCATCGTCGTACGGAGAGTCCGCACACGTCTTGTTGTTATGCACGGGTATCTTGGTCGTAGTCTCTGGACTGATAGCGATAAGAGTGTTTATGCGGGTTGAAGGAGGAGTTGAGGGGCATCTGGTGACCCATGATTATCTTGGTAAAGACGGTATCGATCATCACGGCAGGCCCACTAATTGTTCCCGTGGTATCGGTGGCAATTCTTTCGTCGAATGCGTACAGCCTGAACTAGCTTTTGAGACTATCTGGCAAAAGGACATGGGCGTTGTTGCCATCCGGCGTCTTGTCTTTACTGGATGTACTAGGCTTCTCGCGGGAAGTTGGGTGGCCCGGTTTGTAGTCAGCGTCATTGCCCGCATGAGATTACCACGAAAACACTTCAGCCTCTGATCTGGGACCGAAAATAGTACTGGCCCAGAATCCCCAGGGATGTCAGCATCAGACTTAGTCGCGCTGTGACAGCACATCAGGAAACTTACCTACGAGATCTGTAACACCGGCTGTTGTTAGTATGCTTCTAATGCAAGCCAACATTGCTGAAGTCATGATGCCATCTCAATTTTATTTTTAGATTCCCTTTAATTTATAAGATATATTAATATCTAGCAAGCTTATGAATAGGCCAGCTAATAAGGCTATGTTTAAGTAATACATTTTATTATAGTAACTTACTATTAAATAATATAATGTTTATATTCTATATATGATTAATAATATTATTAAGATAACTATAAGCAAGTATTAACTTTATTTATTATTATACAAGCACACCACCTCTATGTTGTTTGGTCTGGAGGGATGAGGTGTCCTGGTGAGACAGCTGCCTGGACATATGATGCTGAGCGAACTGGCAAGAATGATAGAAAGAGGCTTAATGATGAGCTGAGTCTGTCTTGCAGAGCTTTGATTGTTCTTAGTAATTGTAAAACATCGACTTGACTAGATTGCGGCTGTAAGTGACAATTCCTGTACCAACGGAAGGTGTAGAAATCACCCGAAGCCAGTGGGTTCCTCAACCCGCCGATAGAATCCCCTGACCGCAACATCACCGCCTGTCTAGGTTCGCTCTGTTAATTCTCAAAGGTTTTTAAGAATCCTTATGTCCGTCCTCGTTGTAACAGTCTAGCATGAGACCGCAACCCGGGAGAAGATACACGCCGCAAGAGCACCTCTTGAAGCTGATTCTTGGGGAGATCACCTGCAAACTCCTAGCACAGCGATTGCATGTCGAAGTATATTTTATAGAGATACATACAAGATAAGGCTTTCAGAACCCAATAACCTTATCCCAGTATATCACAAAGTACTCCCTACCTTTCTCAGTCGTACATAACTCTCGCGCGGCTCTACCCCAGCATGCTCTATAACATCCCTAGTCCTGAGCTCTGGATCAACGGGGAGAAACTCAAAGTTCCACATAAGCAACACCCAGAAAATCTGAAGCTGCAGGTAAGCAAGTCTCCTTCCATAGCAGCCTCGTGGTCCGCTGCCAAACGTGAGGAACGGGCCCTTCATAGCGTTATAAGTCTCAACGCCTTTCTCGTCGACATCTATCCATCGCTCAGGTATGAACTGCTCGACATCTTCTGCGCTCCACTCTCCGTACCTGTTCTTTGTATCCTGCGAGCTCTGACTTCGAATGGTCTCAGGGATTTTGATCGCCGGCTTCATCAGACTGGGTCCGTTGAGCGCAAAGAACACGGTGGTGCCCTTTGGAATGGCGTGTCCGAGAATAGTTGTGTCGACCATTGATTCTCGACTTACGATTGGGAGTACCACACTGAGACGCAATATCTCCTCGATGACAGCATCAAGATATGGAATAGACGTACTGGTTATCTCGTTAATCGTCGGCTGGCGATGCTCCGCAAGAGCGGGGGAGAAGGCATTTTGAAGAAGTGATCGGAGTTTTTCTTGTGCTTGCGGAGCATCCGCAATGTATCTCACCCCCCATGAGAGAGTAGCACCCGTTGTATCATGACCTGCAATGATGAACCCAAACAGCTATCCAGAATGGTTAGTCGTCAGTCGACACAAGACAATGAGGGAAGCATACTTCGTCATAGATACGCCGGCGATGGAACCTTGGGAGTCTCTGTGCCTTCTTAGCAGCGGCTGCTTCTCGAAGTACCATGAACTCTAGTGCCGAACGTGTTGCCCATTCGTTATCGGAGCCATCTATGGAGATTGCCTCGACCGCCTTGTCGATCTCACGTCGCGTCCACTCCTCCCTAACTCTGGCGGCGTTTCTCAGAAACGGAAACTGGCTGATGACCCAATAGTGCCATCGGGGTATCGGCGACGAGAAGCCAACTGCTGAGCTCTCAACAATAGTCAAGGTTGCATCTAGCTCTGCTGTCAAGGGATGAACGGGGAAAGCCACAATTTTGTTGTCGGGCTGCGTGCATGTAACACCCGCGGTAGATCTGGCCAACATGTCGTCCAGTTGCCGCCTAGTAGCACTGTTCTCATCGGCTAGGCCAAATGAAACAGCTGTAACAACGTCGAGAGTAGCTCTCTTGAGATCTGTCTTTGCATCGAACGGATGCTCGGCGGCATGCAAGCACTTCTCATGCCAGAGTCTGACCAGAGTGTTGACTTTGGAATATATCTCTGGACCTGAGACCTAATCACGATTAGAGTTTTTTCTTCCACGGCGTTTAATTATCGTACCTGGTTGAGAAACTTTGGTGACATGAGATCCCTCATCAGCTCTCTGTGCTTCTTGAACTTGGGATACACGGTTTGATAAGAGAGCATCTGATGGGGGACGATTCCCGCGAATGCCTCCCGGGCTCTATCACTGCGGTCAAAATCCTTCAACCGTTTCGAAAGGATATCTTGCGCCTCTCGAAAGTCTGATAGAACCACTCTCGGCTTTCCGAACGGGCGGATGAATACTTGACAGACTGGGGAGTCGAACTTCTGGTTTTGCAACGGAAACCATCGACGTTGCTCTCCAGTATGCTTCTGATGCTTCATCAGGTCTGGAAGGTCTCCGAGGAGGCGTTTTGTGGCATGTTTGTTATACGGTATTCCGGGAATAGGCTTGGGAAGAGCAAGGTTATACAGGCAAAGGAGTATCAGGATGATAGAAAAGGCACCAGATGTGAGTTCAAACCAGGACATAGAACCAATATGAAGAGAGAACATTGCTGCTTGGTGAAAAGGATCCAGTTTGCCAGTATGTGATGGATTGTAGCTTGATCTAGGAGCTAGGATATTGCATCTCGATATATGGGAAAGAGCTTTTAGTCGTCACTTCTATATCCTGGTCTAATAACTATAGATAGTTCAAATGGTCGATAGTCGTCTCATGGTTTGTTTCCGCGGAACTGCGTGATTACATGAACCATGACAGGCCCACTTTGATCATGCCCAACGCCATGAGCACTAAACGTTGTGCCCTAGCTTGGGTTCCGCGGGGCTAATTAGTGCCCGCTGTTCAGGCATTCCGAAATACAATTCCGGCTAATTTCTCCAACATACAACCTATTCTTTATGGGTTATAGACAGGATTGTTCCTTTTGCAGTTAGCTAAAATAATGCTATTGAAATCCATCTTGCTCTCATCAAATAAGTAGATCAAGATCAAAAGGTCTCACATCTGGCTTATACATCCTCTAATAACATCAATAAGATATATCAGGATCATACAAAGCCACACTACAATGGAAGACCTCAAAGATAAAGTTATCGCCATCACGGGTGCAGCATCCGGAATTGGGCTTGCAACTGCTCAACTACTATTCTCTGTCGGAGCCAAGTTATCCTTGTCCGATAGATCACCTATTCCACTTGAACAAGCCGCCCAAGCCCTTCTCGCCGCACACCCAAACCGCAATAAGCAAGACATCCTGACAGCAGAGGTCGACGTTACATCCAGCGCACAAGTCACTTCCTGGATCCAAGAGACCGTCAAGAGATTTGGCAGACTCGATGGGGCAGTTAATTCAGCAGGAATTAGCGCTGTCCAGATGGGCAAGGGCAGGATCCGTAACCTCAGTGATGAGGACTGGGCTTTGTGTATGGGCATCAATGCCACGGGTGTCTTCTACTCCATGCGCGCTGAGCTCAACGCCATGATTAACGGCGGGAGCATTGTCAACCTAGCAAGCCTGGCTGGTGTAATTGCAGTCCCTGGGGCTGCGGAATACGGAGCGTCGAAGCATGCAGTGGTTGGTCTAACAAAGACGGGAGCCAGAGAAGAGGGCCAAGCTGGCATTAGAGTCAACGCAGTCGCACCGTAAGTGTCCCGTGAAGAAGAGTGACCATTAGACTGGGCTAACATTGGGGCTAGTGGCCAGATAGATACTCCAATGGGTCGGAATGTTCCCGACGAGTTTATAACGTTTCTGAAAGACAAGGTTTCCAGGCAGCCTATCTCGAGACAGGGACGAGCCGAGGAGGTTGCGGCGCTGATTTGCTTTCTCCTCAGTGAAAGACTCTCGTCTTTCATAACGGGCCAGATTATTCGCATAGATGGGGGGTCGTCTGTGTAATATAGAATGTCCAAATGCCAACCTGTGGTGTCTTGAACGTTCTACTTCTTGAGGGGCGCAATATGATATTCTTACTTCTCAGTCACTACTTTAGTCATAAATTGGGTAGTCCCGGAGCTGAAAGCCTTGTATAAAAGTCTTAGATGCATGATGGTGCGTCTAGTCATATTTTCGGACATTTAGTATGATTGTAACTGGTTTGGCAGAACAGAAGTAGGTTGACATATCATTATTCAGGGTGACCTAATTATTCTGTTGACGTAGAACCTCTAAGGAACTTAGATTGTCAATATTTCTAGGTTACCTGCCACCCGATTCACACATTTTCAAGGACAAAACGTATAGTAACCATAATTCTAGCATTAGAATTTACAATTTAATATCCATATAAATATTTATAAACTCATATGCCGCTTGAATGCCGTGTCATCGTCCTCAGACAGGGAAGGTCTTTGAGACTGGATGCAGAACACCTCTCGCATTTCTGCACATTGTTGCGCCAACATATCTCACGACCTTGAGTCGATGAACCGGGTCGAACTCTGAAACATTAAAGAGACCAATGGATCCATTCCCTGTCCAAACCTCACCGTGAGTAATCTCAAAAGCGGTAGGAATGAATTCCCTGATGATCGGGGGATCATGATGATTCGCCGCAGGGATCAAGCGGAAGTGAAGGCTCTCGCGCATCATGCCGCTCATAGCACCCCAGTCCTGCACTTTCTTCTGCGGTTTGAACCCAAACTGGACGAGCTTGCACCCGGCAGGACGCTCAACATGGCCCGTGATGATTCCGTTAGGCGCCGAATTGGTCTTGGAGGGATCCCACTCAACCGTGCCCATGACCTTGGGAATGCCCCAGCGCTCCCGGCCAGCATATATGGCGCCTTCGTTGTTGAGGATGAGCTCGATCGAGAAGGGTAACTTCCTGCCCTCCCACTTGACCTCGACCTGGCAGACAAACTCGTTGTATGCGCCTATGGGACCCATGCCGTAGTTGAAGAGGGTGAGCGTTACGAGCGGTTCATCTTCCAGCTCGCATTCTTCAGGGATCATGTCCTTGACGGCGTCGTATGTCGTGTGATATTTGATGGCAAGAATCTGGATATCGGTGAATTCATCTGGGCCAGTTGTGTAGGGCGGAGAGCAGAGAGGGATAGGGCCTACAGCCTCTTTTGTCTTGAAAGTACCGAAGGGCATGGTTGCTGAATGTGGTGGTTTTTTTGTATATAAAATAAGTTGAAAGAATATTCAAGCTGCAAGGTGAAGGCCTGAGGAAAGGGGACAGAATATTATATTTAGTCTACTTGTATTTGCTTACACACCTGAATTGTAGTCAAGATGATCGCACGGTCTCAGTGAGATTCGGAAAGTCGGAATAGTGGTTGATTAGCCTGTCACCCCGATTTCCAGGCCTTAAATACCTATACTACAATACGATCAATAGTAAGCAGTGTTGACCGCAATATCTCAACACTACAGGCCGCAGTGGAATAAATGGTGGAGTGAAAAGCCGAGGTGTTACAGGCTTTCAGGCATTATCCCTACCACATTATTTCCATGGAATCAATCAACTCATGGTCGTTTTAGCTAATATTTCCGTATAAATGCCCCGCGGAACTCGGAGGTAAAAGAGGTCCGCTAAATTTGGTTCCATTCCGTTTAGGCTAGAGTTCACCGGGAAATAGCCTCGCTTATCATTCTTAACATTACAGTGTAATTCTCAAACCTCGGGCGAAGAAACAAATTTCATGAATTGGACTCTTGACTCGGAATCTCAATTGACTTTCGGTCGCACCATTCTTCATCCAGCACTGCCCGCTTCACAACTCACTTGCGGCGAAGCACATTACCTCATCCTGCCACTATGAGCGATCTTCTCCGCAAAACAGCTCTAGTAACCGGAGGGGGTTCAGGTAACAAGTCTCTAATCACATTTCTGCGTCCTTCGATCTGACTCTTTAAACATAGGGATCAATCTGGAACTTGCGAAGGCTCTCAGAGCCAAAGGATGCGCAGTCCTCGTCGCTGACATCGCACTGAGTCCACCTGCCACAGCATGGCTAAAGTCTCTTGGAAACCAAGTGAATACCCAAGTGGTATTTCACAAAACCGATGTAACCTCACTGGAACAACTAATCGAGGTCTTTGAGGTATTTGAGAAGAGGCTCGGCGGCATACCCGATATCGTGGTTCCCGGCGCTGGCGTGTACGAAGGGTCCTTTCCTGGATTCTGGGATGACAAGGACGAAACACTCAGCTACAGGCTATTTGACATCAACATGCTGCACCCCATAAGAATGACACGCATCGCGATACGCAAGATGCGAGAGGCCAAGAAGCCAGGCACTATCCTCCACCTCTCAAGCATTACAGCCCAGAAGCCCTCCGTTGTTCTTCCGCTCTACTCTGTATCAAAAGCTGCTATCAGCCAATTCGTCCGTTGCATGGCACCTCTCGATCAGATGTGCGGCATCCGAGTAGTCGGTATCGCGCCGGGGTAAGTTCACAATCCCTACTGAGCTGCCAATCTTGCTCACAGGATTTAGCTTGGTTGACACACCGCTGCTTCGTAATACCTCAGGAGCACAAAATCACGTTGATCCGGCTGAAGACTTCTTGCTGCCTACTGAGGAAGTTGTGAAGGCCATGGTGGCATTGCTGACTGACATCCAGTATGCTGGGGGGACGGTTCTGGAGGTTGGCGATATTGGTAGTTGGAGGGAGGTGCATTTATTGGGAGATGCTGGGCCCCAGGGCCGATCGACTCGTGCAAGAGCCAAGACAACCGAAGCCACAGCCAAGCTTGCAAAGATGTTGATGGGAGAAGAGAAGGATGTTTGTAGGACTTCCAAGCTATAAAGATACTGAATAATATTGTCTCTCACTGCCCTTCAGCAGCATTTGTGCTGAACTGAACTTATTTATTTTGCCACTACTACCGCAACAAATCCACTCTTATGATGAGTAATAAGACTTAAACTCTGGAGGGTTACGAATCCGACGAACGTTCAGTCCTAATTGAGCGAAACTTAACAAGCCACATAGGACCGATGATAACAATAAATGAAGATGCATTTTATATGTCAGCCCAGGTAACGAAGTCTATCTAGTCTGTGTACAGCCTCCATGCTCCATTCACGACATTCCCAACCTCTTCCTCTATCGTCTTTCGATCTGCTTAGACTGTTTGTCAAAGTTGATAAACCAGCTAGATTCCAATGTTAGTTAACGCTACTTGATGAAAAGCATAAATGAGAGAAGACTTACGTTGTATCCGGATATTCAGCGGGGTTCTTTTCCCTATACGTGAAACCACTCGCCAGCCAAGCAAAAGTCAAGTCCTCACTATCGCAAAGACTCTTCCACTCAAAGTCCTCCCACCTCGGAGTACGCAGAAGCTCAAAGTAGTTGATGCGACTACCAGGATGTAAACTGTTTAGCTCTCCTCCAGCAGTCCCGTTCTTAAACGTGCTGCTGCAATTACTCGCCCAGACCGTTTTATTGAGCCATGCGAGGGCATGTTTCTGGTATGCAGCGGGTATGTGAGCCTTGGGGACACAGTAACTGTAGTTCTGAGTCTGAAGCTTGTTCACAAAGTCGGTGATGTACTTGGTCACCATTTCGATCGAAGTGACCAGACTGCCATGGCCGAGCGGGGAGAATGGACCTAGGAAGCCGAAGTAGTTGGGCATGTCTTGGGCTGTTACTGAGAGGTAGGACCGTGGGTTCCCGTTCCAGAGGTGTTGGAGATCGGTTCCGTTGAGGCCGGTGATTGGGAAGCGAGGGGCGCAAGACAAGTCGAAGCCAGTGGCGCAGATGATGGTATCCACGTCTTTTGTTTCGTGACCTGGTGAAGTGCGGATACCGCTCTTGGTGAATGCATCGACAGTGCCCCAAATAACTTGTACCTTTGGCGACGTGAGAGCCTCGAGATACCCATTGCCAGGCGTTGGACGACGACACCTATACCTTAGTCAGTAACCTTTGCCGCTTTGTGATTTCTCTTGACTTACCCAACAGCAAAGTCCGGTAGCAGCGCTTGAAGCAAGTCTTGTCTCTCTCCAAGCTTGTTGGCCATCTCACGGATTCCATACTCTCGAGCAGCCTTTTGCTCCGGAGAATGGTTTACGTATAGACCGAAACGGCTGTTGAGTTCCTGCTCGATCTGACGCCTGTACTGGAGATATGTCTCTGGATCCTTGGCCCAGGCAGCCTTTTTCTCTTCAGAGTAATCATAGTTTGATCCACCGGGACCTGCAAACTTGGAAGCGAAATTGGTGGTGATCCATGTGGGACTTCTAATATGGACATATATCTTCTCTGCGTCATTGAGGATGGCGGGGAGAATCTGGACACCACTGCTTCCATTACCGATCAGTGCCACAGTTTTCCCCTTGATGTCCTTATCAGCATCCTGTGGCCAAGCTGCTGAATGAAGCATTCTTCCCCCAAACTCTTCTCGATCTTTCACGTTGGGCCATTTCCAGTGATTGAAGAAACCGGTGCAGTTGATGAAGATATCACACTCTTCCACAAATGTAGACGAGGTCTCACCCTCTGTAATACCTGGACTGGAAATGACGAGATCTCTACCGTCGGTCTTGGTCACTGTGACCTGCCAGACCTCGCGCTCTGGTATCCAAGAAGCATTGGTGATCTTGTGAGACGTCTTTATGTAACGCCGTAAATCATGCTGTTCGGCAACTGATCGTATATACCATAAGATATCCTCTTGCTTGGCGTAATACGATTTCCAGAGCGGGTTAGGTGCCCAGGAGAACTAGTAGACTGGTTAGATTTTGGCACTCAGCCAGGCCTTGTGGTTCACCTACTTGGTAATTAGGTGCTGGTATATCACAGGCGCATCTAGTAGACCATTAGCTTGAGTATAATACAAGAAGTCAGATTAAAGCGAAGTAAGTATTAGAAATCCACAAGTAGGGAGAGATTTGAAGAATTTCCGTGCACAAATCTAATATGGTACTGACCCTGGGTAGCGATTCTCATACCACGTTCCTCCAACATCAGCGTTCTTTTCATAAACAGTAATACTAGCATTTTGGAGATTGCCGGTTCTTACAGCCCTGGCCATCGAAATACCAGCAAAGCCCGCCCCAATTGCAATGATACGCACTGGCCGAGGTGTGAACGTGGGCACTCGAGATAGAGCGTATGCCAGCTCGTCAACATCCCTGTAAGCCTCTGTGCCTTCTCCTGGGTTGGGTGGTCCAGGAGCTAGACTCTGGAAGTGTTTGATGGCGCGGTCTCGCGCGCTCATTGACTGATTTGTTGGCATCTCGAGCTTTGCCGCGATGTCTGGGAGACTAGTGAACGAGAAGAGAAGGGGATGGTATTATGATTGCCTTTTCGCATATGGTTATCAAACACTGCAATGCTCTTGAATCAACCAACGTCAGTCAATATATGAACAAGTTCAGGCTGTTAGTCATTCAGTCTTGGTCTCGCTTCTTGCCGCGGCTCCCAGGTTTCGGAAATTATCAAGTTCCGAAAACCCCAATCAACAATTAGGTACTACTTCCGTGGAATTGATCAATACTTGCCAGACCACTTTTAGTCTTTTAAGAGCTGGGCCTAACTAAATTCACCTTTACTGATTGATGTAATAATTTTCTACAAATCGCTCATCCATCACATCCTGATTACAGCTCATCATAGTCTCTCTATACGTTCTGTCTAAACAATACGCATTATGGTTCGCGGCGCGCAACTCAACGCCGCAGTGCCAGGCATCCCTTTCTTTGCGCCAGCACAGGATCCAAGCACAGGGACTGCGAAAAAGCTTGAACCAGACACTCCGACGATCTTTCGTCCCCTCAAGATCCGCGGCATCACGCTGCGAAACCGCATCTGCGTGTCCCCCATGTGTCACTACTCATGCGCCGCAAGTGGACCGCAGACGGGTGTCCTGACTCCTCTGTACTACACTACCATCGGCCACTATGCCTTCCGAGGAGCAGCGCTAGTCATGCTGGAAGCAACTGGTGTTACGCCTAATGGTCGTATCAGCGTCAACTGTCCTGGGATCTGGAACGATGCGCAGAGAGATGCCCTCAAGAACCTGGCAGACTTTGTGCACTCCCAGGGAGGTCTTATAGGGCTGCAGCTTGGCCACGCCGGGAGGAAGGCTAGCACTCTGGCGCCGTGGGTTGCCACTCGTATGGGACAGGGAAGTGCTAGAGCTGATGAATCCCAAGGTGGATGGCCAAATGACGTTCTTGGGCCATCTGGAGGCTCGGACTTTGTCTGGGATGGAAAGGCTAGTCAAGATCTAAAGGGCGGATTCTGGGAGCCTAGAGAGATGAGCATTGACGACATCTCCGACTTGGTCAGAAGCTTTGCGAAAGCAGCAGAACGAGCTGTCTGGGCTGGTGTAGATGTACTCGAGGTTCATGTTGCCCACGGCTATCTCCTCCATCAGTCCGTCAGCCCCATCACGAACCAGAGGAAAGACAAGTACGGCGGCAGCTTCGAAAACCGGATACGGCTGGTTCTCGAGATCATCCAAGCCGTCCGAGGTGTTATCCCTGATTCCATGCCCCTGTTCGTCCGAATCAGCGCAACTGACTGGATGGAACACTCTACCCTGGGCAAGAAACTCGGAAGTTGGGATGTTCCCAGCACGATCCGCTTCGCAAAGCTGCTTCCTGACCTGGGCGTAGATGTCCTCGACGTCAGTTCCGCAGGCAACCATCCACAGGCCGCTCACAGCGTGTTCGACGCTGGAAAGGAGCAAGCTGCCATTGCGGCGAGGGTGAAGGAGGCACTGGAAAGGGCAGGCAAGCGGATGATTATTGGTACTGTTGGTGAGATTACGGATGCCTTCCAGGCCAGAGACTTGGTTCAGGACGGCGCGGAGGGTAGTGTTGATCTGATCTCGGTTGGTCGCCAGTTTTTGAAAGAGCCCGGTTGGGTTTTGAAGGCCGCTCAGGAGTTGGGAGTGGACGTGGCCTGGCCACAATTTATTTCGCGACCTCAAATATCTCAGGTGCTCACAAAGCTCTGAACTTGAACGCAGATAGAAGACGCTATTGCTTAATAGAATGTAACATTTCAGCCTCTCTTGTTTCAATCACTTAGTATTCTTACTTTAATATTTTTTAAAATATTTTAATACAGTAATCACGATATTTATTTTAGGGAAGTTAATGCTACCCGGGAGACCAGGCCAATCTGTCTGCTAATATCCTCGCACTAACTAAATAAACGGGGCGGAGCACGGATTACAAGGAGCTTCCCGCGGAATGTCGTATCGTTCGGAATCACCAATTCCGTTGCGGCTTTCCAATCACGACTACAGTTCAGAGGTGGTTCAGATGCTGTACAGGAACATCAAAAGGAAATAGACAACAGACCTGTGGATTTTGGCCAAAAGACTTCCGCCGATATCTCTGGCTAGATTATATACTTCCTCCGCATCTTGGTCCGAAAAAAAAAGAAAAGGCTTCTCTCGCAGGCCAAGCCTTATTCAAATGTCGGTCAACGTACGCCCGAAATCCGTGTCCGGCAAAGTCCGTGCGGCTCGCCTCGAAGTTGTCGATCGCCTCGAGAAACAGTTGGCAGATGCCAAGCAATGGTATGACTTTGACCGCCCCCAAGACTATCGACAAGCACGAGCAGAAGGCACTCACGGGTTCAACCGTCTGCAACTGAATGACCAAGCCCGCTTGGTTTATGCTACCGGGCGTGACGGACAGAGGATTGAACTCCGGGTGATTGAACCGCCTGGGCCGTCGAAAGGCGTGTTCCTCCATTTCCATGCAGGTATGGTCACGCGCGACTCCGCAGTCTATCTGTAGTGGACTTGTTAACCGTCTTTAGGTGGCTTCGTCATTGGGAGCAATGCTTCTTACGATGGGTACTTGACCCGACTCTCCGAAGCATCCGGCCTGACCGTCGCGTCTGTGGAGTACCGACTCGCGCCGGAGCACCCATTCCCAGCGGGCCGCGACGATTGCGTAGATGCGGCCCTCTTTGCTCTTTCTGCCCAAGGTATTAGTGCACTTGGGGTTCCGTTGCGAGTACTAGGCGGAGAATCAGCCGGTGCCTGGTTTGCCGTTGCAGTTGCCCTAGAATTGCGGGATAAGCATGAAATCGACGTCAAGTCACAAATCGCTGCCATCTGTGCTGGCTATGGGATATACGACTTGACCTATACGCCTTCCTTGCTGTCGCACACAAGGAACATAGTTATCAGTCGCGAGACCATGATGAGATTTTCTGAGGCGGCTTTTGGTCATATCCCGTTCAGCGACAGGAAAAGGCCTGACATATCCCTGTTATACGCTGACTTGGGCAACCTACCCCCGGCGCATTTTCTCGTGGGAAATATTGAGCCACTACTTGATGATAGCATCTTCATGGCTGCCAAGTGGATCAACGCGGGGAGTGAAGCTGAGCTGCATGTTGTTGAGGGTGCTTGTCATGCCTTTACGCTGTTTCCGCTGGGTGAGGTCACGGAACTGGGGATTCAGGCAGTTGTTGACTTTGTGCATATACAAATGAAGCGCTTTGCAATGTAGCAATACGTTAATATACTTGGCCTAAGATAATCCGTGAATTTCTTTCATATCCGAGCAACATTTAAAGAGTAGCCAAAGGAACAAACATTCTATAGAGAAACTATCTAGCCTCTATCTCAGTGAACATCTCAGCTAATCCTAAGCTGACCTCAAGGCCACGTTCTGCCATGGGGTTTGGAATCATGCTGTTAAAGCTCTTTGAAAAGTCAAATGTTTCTGTGCTCGAGGGATAATCGACCTGGTCAACTGCCATTGCAAAGTTCATGTCAGACTCTGAATAGCCCCCGAGTGGAAATATCAGGTCATAGTCTGGACGTGAATCATTAAAGTCAAAGTTCAGCACGCATCGCAGGGCTTTGAAGGCTCTAGCTGCGGACACGATTGTGGCAGACAGAGACTCTAGCATGCTACCGGCTCGATGGAGCGCCAGTGGAAGTGCTTCAACGTCAAGCACAGAAACACCTTCGCGGTATCCAAGGGTTAGATAGTATATGGACTCGACCAGAGAAGCAGTTAGTATGTAGCCGGCATTCGGGTTTGCGCCCCAGCTGTCTAGGTAATGGCTCATGGCATCCAAAGACTCGATGGAAATTCTCAAGCAAGATGCTACCCTTCGAGCATTTGTCTCTGGGGGAATCAACGTCCTTTGGCGGATACTCAGTCTGAGAGATTGATATCGCTAGAGTTGCTTGGTTAGTGTTGTGTTACTCATCCCAAACTGTCCTTGGAAGACTTGCCAGAAAAACAAGAAGATGCCGTCGATCTTCTAGCTCACAAGGAGAATTCAAAATGGTGTTGTCCACTTCTCCGTTCCATGATGAGATGTCGGGGTATTGCTCCCTAAGGGCTAGGAGCTTTGCATCAAATGCTTGGATCTCAACCCAATCGCTCGCCATCGGGGCATTCGGAGCCAGAAACCCGTCCCACACTGATGCCCAGAGCCTGGCATGGCTAAACATTGTCTTCAGATATGTCTTGCTCTTCAGGTCGATGTGAGCGCTGGTTTCATGCTCAAAATCCACATGCCCAAGACTGTTTCCGACAAAGTATGGGATGCCGCATTTCTGGGTGATGCGCTTGTCGAGGAAGTCGAGAGTGACCCATAGTGCCAGGGGATCTACAATGTCCTCAGAGGATGTCGGATATCCGTGGCTTTGGCCTAATCCTAGACTAACTGCTGAATGAAGACCGTTGAGCACGTGGGTGGAGGCAAGACGTAACCTCTCTGCTGCTAGGAGATACGCTGCGGAGAAGGTGTGATAGATGACACAATTTGTTTGCAGCTCACTGCCGCCTCCTTCAAAGTGCTGCATGAGCTTCCTACTCTGCCAATAAGCTTCCGAGCCAGGCCACACCTTGTCAAGATCCAGATCGGGGCAAATCGTATCGTCCAGGTTTTGTCCAGCTGCAATGATGACGAGAAGAATTGATATCACCAAGTGATGCGGCTCAGTCACAACTACCGACTGGGTTGTAGAAGAGTAGCTCAGTGCCTTGAGGGTCTCTGAAATCGCCTCTACTAGCCTCGTCCCGTGGATGGAAGGAAAGAAGCAGTCGGCACCAGCCAGACCGACCTTGATTGCCTGCGACAAGTCCTTGGGGCAAGGAAGGATAACGGTGCAGCTCTTTGGGAGAGTCGTGCTTGGGAGGAAAGGACCTGCTCCGACACTGGAGCGTAGATCACAGATCTGTGAAGCAACAGCGAATCGATTGAGCCATCTACTCCCGGGGACAAAGGTGTCGGTGTCGGCGTAGGTGAGCTCATCTGGTTGACGGTGTTCTTGACAAGAGTTCGGTGACTCTTCTTCATCATTGTGTGTCGTGCTCCGTGGTTCAAATGCTTCGATTGATTGACTGGATGTGAGAGGCGGTTCATCTGGTGAGGGTGCTGAGATACCCGTCTGGTTCGGCAATGATGGCGTGTTGTGCGAAGTGAGAAAGTCGAAGCTGAGTGATTGCTGCATCATCAAGGTATCCAATCCTTGTTGCAACCGTCGAAGTTGCTCCTTGAGCAGTGCAGTCTCGTCTGACGCAGAGGTGGAGAGACTTGAGGACGGAACAGCTCGTCTTCTTGATGACTGTCAGCTCTGCAGTCCAAGCCCTGAGTACAATTGTCTGTTGAAAGGACAGTGGATCTACCATACTTATTTGCATTTGACGAAGATTGTTTTCGCTTCCTCTTACTCGATCCATTCGAGATATCTTGATAGGAACATTCAGCACCTCTCCCAAGACAGTTATGACATGGCGACTGTCCAGAACACTACAACGGTAGCATCAGCACTGAAGTGATTATTTATGTTGAGGGGGAGACTAACTTTAACCTTGCGTCGCTGGCACTCAGTGCTTCATTGACCCTGGTCAGCGAATAATCTTGGTACAGGCACAAAAATAGCTTACCAAGCATGGGAGGTATACTCATCCCTCTTGCTGGATTTCTTCGTCGTCGAGGCGGTGGACATTTTTCGGTTCTCGTTTGACCCCTCAAAGATAGACCGGGACTCGCGGGATTGAAGGTCCAAGTTGGCCAAACAGCGCGACAGGCGAGCTCCATTCATTTTAGACGCATCGTCAATTCCGCACTGAAGTGCCGAGGCAGATCCACTAACTGTTTTGGTACGTCATAGTCACTCCCCCGCAATTTCAGAACCTGGGGTATGTTTTACTTACGATACCTCTGTAATTGGTTTAAATAAGCCAGATGAATGCAGAGGGTAGCAATCAAGTTCTGCTGTTACTGTGTTGTTCCTCATAAGGGGAAACGTACCGACACAAAGACTGAAGACCTGCATTATGCAGCCCTGCAGGGGAAAAAGTAAATCTTCTTCTGCCTGTAGCCGAGGCTTTTGAAGATAACTTTCTAAGGATTTTAGAAATATTTTCTTTGTTTAGAGAATTTAGTATAATATAAAGACATATGGCACAGTTATATCTTACCATCTTAATAACTGACGATTTATTGACACTTGTTGATAAATGAGATTGATCATTGCATGCAGAAATAGGTATTTATCTCCTATCGCGGTCCTCGTAAACACATCAAGACTGCCTTTTTCAGCAGCCAGCTACAATGCTTCCAGTAGGAGAGTTGCCAATTTCTCAAAGCCTTTGGCAGAGATTGTTGCAATCTGGATAGTCTTCTCGCCATTGCTTGCGGGACCTTGTCTGAATAACTTGATGTGGACAGAAGCGGCAAAATCCCATTCCCTCAAAAGCTCCCGATCTTTGAGATGGCCTGCTGAAAATTGATACTTCCCCCCACGTCGCGACTAGCGTTTTCAATATGCTGTTGCTCGTCAGACTCCCTTATATCCTCAGCTCGAGCTCGTTTTTGCAGAATCTGCGCAGAACATTGGAGGATCCGGCATTTTGCAACAATGCGCAGGTAAGCCGGTTCCGCAGGAGATGATGGTGGAAAAACTGCAAGGCTTGAGCGACGCCATGTTCGATTTTTCATGGTCTTCGATATGCGCAACCGTCAATAACCTGTAGTTGGACTTTGGTCGTAAGTGGACGGGCGGAGGATCCAAAGGTGACGTGTGTTTGCGTATGCTTTTTTTTGGGCATTGGCTCTTGGGGATAAGCTTTATAAATGAATGGTAAGGTAAGGGCTCTGGTCGTGGAAGTCTGACATTCCAGTAAAGCGCACTGGTCAAGGCCCAGTTAGTACTGACACACGACTTTGGTACTACTTACGATACGACGGCGAACGAGCAATGCCATTTCCACCACCGCAGACGTTGGCCATCAATGCCAGATTGCGTTTTTCTACCTAGCTGCATAGAATATCCATCTCGGGAGTAATCAAGAGACATCGAGTGCCGGGGGTACCGGCCATCAGACGCTAAGGGCACCAGAAGGAATTAGTGCACATCAGTGATGGGAAGTTATACGAATAAACAAACTAGACGAAGTAAACGAGGATAAACGAGGATAAACGAGGTATGGAGCCCAGAGTTCAATACTGTGAGTGGTGGTTCTCCCAGGAACCTGATCCACTGCCCCGCCGAAGGATCTGCTAAACTCCTTCTTGCGACCCAAGGCCAAGCAACGCGATTTCCTTCGTCTTCTCTTCGTTCTCAATCACTTCCTCTTCGCATTCTTCGTTCTTTATCATACATCGCTTGGGGTTTGAGCAGCCAGCCCCGCAGACTACTTGCTGCTCTGTTTGCCTAGACCGACTCGGCACTTGCAAGTCCCAGTTCATGAATCATGGGGTCGTCATCAACAAGACCTCGGGCACGGAGGCCACACCTCAAGTCCAGGAATGGCTGCTTCACATGCAGGAAACGCCGGGTCAAGGTAAGTGACTCCGAATTCCTTTCTTACCTGTCTAGCCAAGGCTGAAACAAGCATTTGTTCCCTTGTCAGTGTACCGAGGAACACCCGACATGTCGGTCATGCCTGAACCGCAGAACCGTTTGTAAATACCCGGACGGAATTGTCGAATCTACTTCAAACTCAGTGTCTATACCACCGCTACCCTCCCTCGTACATTCACCACTGGGCGTGTCAGCGTCACCCTCGGGATCGACAGGAACCCCGGTTCCGGCACTTCAGAGTCTTGGCCCTGCGACTAGTCAAGCATCATTAGAGTTGAATCAATTACATCTGCTTCACCACTGGACAGTCACAACAAGTGTCGACCTTTGCAGATGCTCCAAGACATTGTATATCTGGCAGGAAGCCCTTCCCCAGATTGGCTTCCAATATCCATTCGTCATGCATGCTTTGTTAGGTCTTGCCGCTTTACACATTGCTTACACGTCCCCAACCCAGCGAACCCGGAGTTGGCTAGTTGGCATGTATCATCATAACGAGGCCTCGGCCGGTTTTCGGAGAGAACTCTGCGTTATCACAGAAGAGAACAGTGAGGCATTGTTTACCTGGTCCATATGCAATGTTCTGTACATCTTCGCTACCTCAAATCCACTTTATCAGGGTATAGATGGTAGCCCCACCTCGTCTACATCAGCCCAAAAGGAGAAGGTCTTGGGTACAGAATGGATTCCTATGATCCGCGGTCTGAGGGCCGTGCTTGAGCCTACACATAATTACTTCCGACTCGGGAGAATGAAGGCTATAATGAGTACGGGGAACTGGTATGAACTTGATCCAGATCAAGAAACCCAGAACCCAGAAGATGCCCACTTCTGCCGCGCCCGCGAGTCTTGGAGCCACTCCGAAGGTGCCGAGGTCTATGAAGAGGCGCTTCAAGTTCTCCGGAAATGTCGACTTTACTCGTCGCAGTTCCGCGCAATGGACTCTGAGACAAGAGACAACTGGGGATACAACAAAGAGTGGTCTGCGCCTCTGATGTTCATTCATTTCGCACCAGACTCTTACTTCGCACTCTTGCAACAGCGGCAACCGCCAGCTTTGATCCTATTCTCACTATTTGGAGCACTCCTGCATAAGATAAGGGATTACTGGTTCTTGGAGGGCTGGGGCAAAGCGATAGTGGAGGTAATAGCAGATATCTTGGGGAGTTACTGGAGAGAATGGTTGCTTTGGCCGTTACAGGTTATTCAAGAATAACAACAGACATATATAATCGAGCACATCTCTCTAGCCCAATTCCACGTCCCTAACTAAGCGTAGCACTAATGATCTACTTCTTGTGGATTAAATGGCTGACATTGGACTCGCCATCACCCTTAGAAACGTAGAACAGGTGGTTCCCATTGTTAGCAACAACAACAGTCAACTGGCTTAAACCATCGGGACCACCGCCACTCTGCTTAGTCCCAACTAGAAGGTACTGAAGATACTAATCGATGCCGGGCATTCTGAGTTTGTGGTAGAAGTGGTGCTCAAGCTCGCTGTTTAATGCAATAACTAAAGCAGGCAGCACACTCAGCAGCCTTGTTCCAAGCCAATCACGCCTATCTTTCAAGAACAATTAGCATGACTCGTAATACTAGAGCCACGAGGATGTCAAAAACACGATTGCGGAAGGGACATTTCCATGTGATTACAGTTGCGTAAGTAACTGGCCAGACTTATATAACAATTACTTCAAGTCACCACGAATCATTGAACAGAGTACAGGGATGGCTCGGGGATTTAAAGAATATAAGGCTGTTTACTTGTCAAGAACCCCTGCACGGAGCGTCCTTACTTTCTATTCTAGTCCTGAGGGGGGTAAGACAAGGCACATTTCAATACCGACTTGCCTAAACAAGCTAAGGCTTACTGGGATCAGCAGAGCTGAACCACTCCATTTTACCAAAGTACCGAACATTATGTCACTGCTGAAAAAGATAAGATCAATGTCAGCAGGAGCAGAAATAAGCATATAAATAAAGTCTGACACCTGTCATCTTTCACATCTTCATCCCTCCTTTCTCACCATCTCACGCTACTACCAGCTTTCATTACAACGCCATGGCTCACCAACAAGGATACCCGCAGCATCAACAGGCGATGCAACCCCCAAGCAATGACAGAGGTGCTTTTCCAGGCGGAACTTACAGCATTGCTCACCGCGACACCAATGCCGTTCTCAATGTCGATCTCCAGCAAGGCGCCGTGGTGCGCTCCAAGTCAGGTGCCATGATTCACATGTCTGGCTCTATCGAGCTAGCTGGAAAGTCCAAATTCTCTCTGGGGAAGCTCTTTACAGGTGGCAACTTGTACGAGTCGACGTATACCGGCCCAGGACGGATCGCGCTCGGCCCAACGCTGTTTGGAGATATTATCACCCTCCATGTCGATGGGCACCAGTCTTGGACCATCGGCAGAGACGCTTTCCTTGCTTGCACTTCTGAGGTTAGCAAGAAGAGAGAGACTCAAGGTATTGGCAAGGCGCTGTTCTCGGGAGAGGATCTCTTTGTCTTTCGTATTGAGGGTCAAGGAATTATGTGGCTGACGAGCTTTGGTGCTGTCGATGGGCTAGATGTGAGATTCCCAAGAAATTCGCGTAGGTGCACTACTGACTTTCGATGAATAGCTTCGACCTGGTGAGGAACATATTGTTGATAACGGTCATCTCGTAGCTTGGAGCTGCAAATACGCGATTGAAAAGGCTGGTGGGGGGGCTATGACTGGATTGAAGACGGGCGAGGGTCTAGTATGCCGCTTCACAGGTCCTGGCTCGGTTTATGTACAGACTCGAAACATGGATGAGTTTCAGTCTTTTATTAAGGCAACTGTAGGAGCTTAGATCTGCGATGTCTGCTTCAGCTTAGGCCATTGATATGACTTCGACCTCGGCTGAGAACATTTAAGATTGGGTAATAAGCTGTCGCCTGACCTAGACAAACGTCATTGTGAATTTTAAGAAATGTCTACTAGCTTGCCTTAATACCTGGATTGAAAACAATTGTAAAATTTGTCATTACTCCCAGACTTGTTATTCGGAGCCTTAGCTAAGAATATCGGCAGCCTTTGTTGCCTCACTGTTATCAACGGCATGGCCTGATCGTTGATAGTCGCAGGGATATGCTTCGAACCTAAAAGCTGTGTCCGTATGCAAGCGTGTTTACTAACTGTAAGGTATGACCGCCTATAAAACTCGCGAAATAAGTCACTCGCGGGCGAGGTATGGAGTATGTATTTATTATTTCGTGCCTCACCTAGTAAGAGAATATGTAGTTGCAACACTGTCGCCTACTTGTTCAGGGCTAGGGTGACACCGTTAAAGACGCAAAGACGCATCTATCATGTGCGCCTCTGTCGCAAAATGGAAACAGCTTATCACTTTTTAAGGAAGCAAGGTGGCATAGCCATAGACTCTTTTCTCTAAGACTCGATTGCAAGTTGAATGAAAGCCTTTATTACATTATCTCATTGTTACATCAACAAGTACATAGTAAAAGTATCAAGATGAGTCTACCTAGGCTGTAGGGAAGGACAATTCTCTACTCTTGGCTCTCATTCTCTTTCCGAAAACCTGCAATACAAGAATGATAAGAAACGCAAAGGCACAGATACCAGCCTGGGTGCCGAAGCTGACTTTAGCGCCGACAGAGTTTGCCCATTTGACTTGAAAATAGCTGATGATAAACCCCCCAGTAGCTGTTTGGTGTCAGCAATTGTCTGACGATGTTGAGTGAGTAGTGGTTTCTCAACTTACTTCGCGCAAAGTTGATCCATGCAGATACTTCCCCGGATGCTTCTGGATAGCTGTCGAGGTTGTATGCATTCAGAGCAACTGTAGTTACCATGATACCAAAGACGTACAGGCCCCAGAACAAGGCTGTAATCATGTAGTGATACCCCTCCTGAAGAGCGAAGCCTAGTCCGACCAAACCGGCGAGCATGAACGGGGTACTGAACCAAATTGCACGTAATCTGATTTCCGGCTCAAAGTGACCATTGTGCGTCTTGATGAATTGTGTGGCAATTCCATCGTGGAGCCAGTGGCCGACTACCTCTCCCAAAATTGCGGCAACAACAGGTGTAAAATAGAAGAAACCGATCTGCTTAGGGCCAAAGTTGTATAGCGGTGTAAGGAAGATGGACAAGGTTGTATTAATACCGACGACCCATGCAAAGGTCAGTAGGTAGTAAAGGCAAGACAGGAAGACAGTTGGCTTCAGGATGACCCGAATTGGGCGCATACAGGCTTGGCCGAAGCTGTTACGGAGGTGGCGTGATTGGTACTGAGCATAGCCTAGTAGAATGCCAATGCGTGATCCTCTGGGTGGTTGATTGGCAGCAGTGATGCGACGGTCATAGTAGGTTTCTTCGACAAACAAGATGGTAAGGATGAGCGCAAGCGAAGTCTATGTCACGGTCAGTTTTGGACTCAAACTCATTAGGCCAGTCTGTCACACCTCAGTAAAGTATACCCAGAACGCAATGGGCCACGGCTCTGTCGTAATTATAAAGGCAGTCAACAATGGCCCCATATAGGGAGAGAGGATAATGAAGGCAGCCCAGATATTGATCTTGCGAGCACGCTCGTGGAAGAAGAACATGTCAAAGATGAACATAAGTCCTCCACCCTGCGAGACAGTGCTGAAGAAACCATTGAGGATACGAGCAGCCATGAAAGACTCAAAGGTCGTAGCAGCAGCACACCAAGCTGCTGTAGCTGCAGCGATGACGAGGAAGTAGAATAGGACAGGGAGACGGCCTGCCCATGCGGAGAGGGCTACAACAAAGATACCGCCTGCGCCGAGCATGAAAACGTTACCGACTTGTGAGTGGTTGACTGTATCTTGGCTCATGTTCCATTGTCTAGAGCCATTGGGTTAGTGGAATGATTCACCCTGTGACTAAGTCTCAACTTACGCTGCCTGCGGGATGAGAGTAACTGCACCAACAGCGCTGCCATAGTCGGGAAGAAAGGCTGCGAAACTGATGATGAAGAGGATCACGTGTTTCTTGACAGGGCTCCAGTTGAGAGGATCACGTGTATCGTCGGAAGGCTGTGGAATTAGGACGGTATGGCCATCCTTGGCGAGCTTGAGGTTGCCATGGTGTGCGGTGTCAACCTGGGCTATGTAGCCTTCTGAATCTTTGAGATCTGAAGACAGTGCAGTGTCGCCGACTTGTTCGTCCATTGATTGCTTGGGTTTGTAATCGTCCATGCTGGTGTGAGCTCATACAAGTGTACGTGACTTGTAGGGTAGCCTGGTATTAAGATTGATTGAAATGAAGCGGTGCTCATGTATGGCCTGCCCAGGAATGAAGATCTACCTGAAAGAGATCTACAACAGAGGGGAAGTCCATGCTTTATGTTTAAATTCTCCCGCCTGCCTCTAGGATCTCCGTTAGTATTGTTGCCGGGTCTATCCCCGGATGCGGGGGAACACCGGCAGGATTGGACGTGCAATCCGATGTACAGTAGTCGTAGAATACCCTGTAACGCGGGGCCCCGCGATGGTAACTACGGCTCTAGCCTCCGGAAGAACACACGTTATCTCGGAAAACCTCAACCTCAAATCTAAATCTTCCGCCTTCCGGTCTCAACATGTCAGGTTTTCCGAATCTTCCGGATCTTCCGGCCCGATATGTAACAAAACAATTGAATGAGGTAATTTGACATCTATCTTGGCGTAGCAATTTGTTAAAGGAACAATCTTTTAGGACTTTGTTGGATTCATCACTACATACAACAATTCTCGCAAGCGCAAAATGAAGGACTTTGAGTACAACGTCCAAACAAACCGAGTGGTCTTTGGCTCTGGCAGTATCACAAAACTCGCAGCCGAAATAAAGCGCCTCAAGGTCTCCCGACCACTCATCCTTTCCACGCCTGGCAAGCGACACCTCGCCGATCAATTGTCCGATATCATCAAAGATGCTTCTCTAGATGTCGCTGGCATCTTTGCCCACGCCACAGCGCACACTCCGACGTCTGTAACCGAAGAAGGAACTGCCTTTCTTGGCTCCGTGTCAGCAGACTGCGTTGTTTCTATAGGTGGCGGATCAGTAGTTGGACTCGGGAAAGCTATTTCCATCCGCTCAGGCGTACCTCACATTAGCATTCCAACGACCTATTCTGGCTCGGAAATGACTCCCATCCTCGGCGAGACGCAGGACGGTATCAAAACTACTCGCTCCGACCCTAAGATCCTTCCTGCTGT